TAGAATATTTGCGCCTCAGGTCCAGAATTTAGTTTTGCCAGGCCACCAAAAAAAGGCAAAGTAAATGGAGGACTGATGAGGAGAGAAGATAAATGCCTTGTTCAGCAAAACTTGGTAACAAATGGTTTGAGTCCTAAACAGCAACTTAATTCCTTTGAATTCTCATTTCCATCTCATGTTCCATACCCCTGCCCATATTCTCACCTCAGTGCTTATATTCAAATTTACCAGAGCAGAGACAACTGCAAAAAGAGTCCACTTCAACCTTTCCCCCTCTGAGAAATTCTCATTGTGAAAAATTCTCCCTATATATGCATTGGCACTCAACTGGAGTCCAATAGAATGCTAGAGAGAGGAAATGGAGACGATTAGTTGCTTTTCCAAATTTTTGTTCAAAACATTTTGCCAGGAGTGGTAAATCTTTTATCACAAAGCAAAAGACAAAAAAGTCTGCTTTTTAAAATACAAAATATTGGATTTGCTGCAGGGATTCTTGTAAATTTTAATCTAGTCTGGCATTAGATACTGGAATTTACTATCTTTTGCCTTTGTGTGTGTGTGTGTGTGTGTGTGTGTGTGTATACATACACACACCATTTGCTCAAAACAGATTCATCAATTCGCACTTGGCTATAGGTAGTCCTGGAATTACAGCAGCTCATTTAGTGACCGTTCAAAGTTACAACAGAACTAAACAAAGTGACTTATGACCATTATTCACACTTACGACTTTTGCAGCATCTCCATGGTCACTTAATCAGAATTCAGACACTTAGAAACTGACTCATATTAATGATGGTTGCAGTGTCCTGGTGATCACCTTTTGCGACCTTCTGACAAGCAAAGTCAATGGGGAAGCCAGATTTACTTAACAGTTGTGCTATTAAGTTTAGCAACTGCAGTGATTCACTTAACAATTGTGGCACAAAAGATTGTAAAATGGGACAAAATTCACTTAACTGGCTTGCTTAGCAACAGAAATGTTGGGCTCAATTGTGGTCGTAAGTTGAGGACTACCTGTATTCTATACCCATTGAGGGGTAGGGCTGCCCTCCTGCCCATTTTGATCACTCTTCCGTAAATGCTGATACCATGAGCAGGTGTGCTTGTATGCAGTGCTCTAAAGCAATAACAAAGGGGGCAAAGTGTCCATGGCACAAATTTGACACCACCAGCCCTTTGTACAGTTGCTCTTAACTTCTGCTGTGTGGCATTTTTTCTCCCAGTATATTAACACAATAGATAAATGAGTATGTTACTTGTAATATAGATATTAGATTTTTAACTTTATCTAAATAAAGACAATAAATTATCAGTAATAAAGTATTAATTAACATTTAGGAAATAAAGCAATGGAATAGCTGTCATTTACATGTATAATCCCTTTTCTACTCCAATCTCTCTCCTTTCCCTTCTCTTGTTTCCCTTTTTATTTCAACCCTGACTTGGTGGGTTGGTGAAAACAAGGGAAACAAATACCAATTCAGCATGCTTTTAGTAGCTTTCAAAGGAAGGTAACAGGATTCAAGCCTCAGTTTTCTTATAATCAATGAGACTGGAGTTTGTTTCTTTTTCCTTTACATAATATCCATGTTAGGTTGGCTGCTTGGTGAAGTTTTTAGAGGCCTGAGTAAAGTGATGGGATGAGGAGAATAGGGTCTCTGCTCTCCCCCGTCCCCCACCCCCAATTTCAAGGCAGCTGGTGGCTCTTCTTAGTATAAGATCCAATTTGGTACGATTTGGGGGGAAATAAATAAATAAACGTTTAGGCCTGCTAAAAGCTTTCATAATCTGTAACCAAAATTAAATTTATGCTTTCCCCTGGATAAATATAATTGTAAATCCCCTGACCTTTAGAGAAACAGATTATGGACATGGGCAGATATTATTAGTTTTTGAGCAGTCAGTATTGGCAATATACATGTCTTCTTCAGATTTTAAACCTGCCTACATGTATTAAAAAGCCAAACGAAAGATTTTATTTACATATCTTTCTGTTGAAGAAATCTAGGACAGTGACATCTTCGACAAGTTATATTAAGCTGCTTTGTCATTGTTAATGTGGTTATTGCCTACATTTTGAGTGCTTTCCATTCTTCCCTTTCATTAACCCAACATAAATTATTGAGGAAAAACTATTCATTTGGTTTTAAACATGTATTCCTTAAGACAATAATCATAAGGTCCTGACAAGATAATATATCTGTCTTCTACTTGAAACAAAGTGAAGTGCTTCCTTAAATACATATCTTGCCTGAGAATTTTTTGTTCTGCATCGGAAATAATACTGTTGATATATTTCTGTAAGGAGCAGCTCTTGTGGCTTTCTTTTTTATTAATGTATAGGGGGATGTTGTCCTTGGAAAAGCATCAATTCTTATGTATTAATGCCAGCAGATTTGGTGATTACCAAATGCCAATTTGGTTTGATGATTAAGACTGGTAACAGGAAGACCATGGCTTCTAGTCCTGCCTTAGGCACAAAGCCAGCTGGGTCATTTTTAGCCACTCCCTTACTTTCATACCTAGGAAGAAGGCAGTGGCAATCTACTTCTGAAAATGTTGCCAAGAAAACTGCATGAACTTGTCCAGACCAGTTGCCAGAAGTCAAGACAAATTTTAAGGCAAACAATTTAAATAATATAAAATAAAATCCAGCATATTATTATAATAACAGACACTTGGAATCTGTGGCTAAGAAATCTAGAACAACATTTTGGATTTGAAAGAAGCACCAATGTGTAAGGATGTATTATAGACATATCTAAATGTTTTCATAAAGGCTTAATTTTATTTGGTTCTCTGTATTATCTGTTTGTATTGATTTATTTTATCTGTACCACACTTCATTTTTCTTTTTAATTCTATAATTAAAATAATTTTTAAAAGGAGTTGGCAAAAATATGTCGGCTATTCTGTCAAATTGGGTATTTGGTTTTGTTAGAAAATAACCAGTTAGGTTGTTTTCAATACATCCAAAAATGATATGGTGTAATAATCAGACACATTCCATGCCTACTTTGTCTTAGAAAAACTACATAATTATGGATATTATATATTCATAGTTGTCCAGATCTAACACATGATTAATGTTTGCTTGCAAATTTATATTTTTATGTTTTTATGAATAACATGAACACCTTAAAACAATTTTGAATCTTTATAATTCAGCATGTTTACATGCTGGATTTTAAGGCAAAGCTCATGACAACAGTGTATAACAATGAAATGAAATATATGTAAAAGAAGATGTTAAATTAGAAAACTTCTGACAAATCACAGAGAAAGAATCCATGTTATTGCATATAATTAAAAAACAGCAGACTAACATTGGTGAGTATTTGGTGTATATTTGAAATTCTCTCCTATAGGGTCAGTTCATAGTAACATAGAAAGGGAGTTCTACAGCTATAGAGCAGCACTGGGAAAATTATTTCTACTATCCAGAAATATTGACATTCAGAATATAAAATTGCTATCTACTGCTCCCAGTTTGGTCTAGTGCAGACCCGCCTGGACATTTTACAGCTGGCGGGCCATGTTCCGCCAGTCTGACAATGGCAGTGGGTGGCAGTAGGACAGGAGAGCATTATCAATGATGGGGGGTGGGGGGGGGTGTCATTTAAACACTGAATGCTGTTACAACACAGTTGCATTAGTATTAGCCCTTCAGAATTTTTCAAAATATGCTTATGAAGGTATTTTCTAAGCAAAAAGAATAATGTAAAAAAAAATCTTACTGTTTTAATGACAAAATATTTCTAAGCTTAAAATCTCCATTATTTAGATTTATTAAGACCAGCATCAGAAGTTCCAGTGCCATGTTGGAAAATACAATACATTTTTTTTGCCAATGTCTTCCTCTTTCTTCCAAACTAAAATGACATAAAAGTTTTCAAGATTATATTATATCAAGATTATTTGCTTGACAGTGAGTAGCAATGTTCCGCTGATAGTTTAGATTCCAGTTTCACATTCTCTTTAATACTAAACACATGCAGTAAGAAATAGTTCTCTGAATGGGGAAAAAAATCCAAGCTAGTTTAATCTTTAAAAAGCAATAGGTATTTATTTAAATATCTATAGAAATCAAAACTAGTTTACCTTTTACATGAGGTTTTAAAAGTTGATGGTAAGTGAACTCTGTACCCGAACATTGTTCTAACTCATTTTGTATAGTGTAGGAAAGTCTGCTAACAAAGTAGGATTACTCACTAAGTTCCTGTTTCATGAATATTGACTTTAGTTAAGCAGATAAATCAACCAGGACAGTCAGAGAATAACAAGGAAACAATAAAGCACAAGGGCATTTTGCTAGATGAGGAGGCTACTTTTTAATAAAATCACCTAAAAACTATCTTAGAGGAAGTGGATTATCCAGATCCCTTACAATCTGGTTTCTGAGCTGGGTATGGGATTGAGTCACCATTGATTGCTGTAGTTGGATAACCTTTGTTGGGAAATGGACGGGAACGTGCACTCTTCTTGGTCCTTTTTGACCTTTCAGGAAAGATATTCTGCACCATTGGAATTTAGAAAGTTTTTAGTCCCTTAAAGATGAAACATGCTTTAAGCATTCAGAGAAGAAAAAGAGATTATGGAAGAATGGGAAACAGAATGGTAGTTCCCTAAAGAGTAGAGAGCATGCAACTATGCCAGACAGGATTACAAAGAAAAGAGCAATGATAGTTTTGGCTTGCTGCTATGACAAAACTGAAATATATGTCAGCTAGACCTATTGGCTCATTGAATGGGCAGTTTGTCAGGAGCAAAGACCAGGGATGGATAGAACAACTCCTAAAATATTATAACTCAGTGAAATTTCACTCTCGATGGACCGACCCAAATTGGATCCTGCAACATTTTCCTGGGACACGTATCCTGGGACCTTCATATTTCAACTTCACTATTATCCACTCTTGCTAACATTGGTGGGAACAAATGATATGGGAGATAACAACTAAAGCTTTTACATTTCTAAAAATCATTTTCTCTTTTAGATGGAGCAGCTCTCAGATGAAGAACTTGATCATGGTGCAGAAGAAGATAGTGATAAAGAAGATCAGGATCTGGATAAGATGTTTGGGGCTTGGCTTGGAGAGTTGGATAAACTCACACAGGTTAAAGATTGTTTATAATTCTATGAGCTGCAAACAGTAAAAGAGATCACTCTTTCTTGCTATAACAGCTTTCTATAACTTGCATCCTCAGAGTGTGTGTATAGTAAAAATTTCCTTAGTTTCAGCCAATGTGACTGCTGTAATCCACTAGCCAATTCATTGATAGCCAATGCTCTTGATAATATAGGTTATATCAGCAAGAGAGATTATAATTTACAAGCAGTATTTTTACACAGAATATTTAATTGCTCTTATGTTGTTCTTCCTATCATTGGAAGCAGCTCACCAGGCTAAAAAAAACCCTAGCCCTTTGGAATGCTTAATATTATGTCAGTGTTTGGATTTCTGGCTTATTATATAATTTCTGAGTCTCCAATAATCCCCTATCACTAGTCAACAAGGCAGAAGAGGGCCAGAAGAGGAGGTGGACAACAAATTCCCTATTTCCCTTTTTCCCAATGAATACACTTCCAACCATTAGGGTAGTGTCTGGCCTAGCCATTTAACCCACTCTTCACTCCCTCCTCTTCCTCTTACCCTGTCTGTGGACCCCCGCCTTGGCTCCAGTGCTCATTTCAGTGCTAAGGGTTACCACCAACTTTGCTTGACCAGGACAGTCCCTGATCAGTGGTGGGTTTCAACCAGTGTTACAACCGGTTCCCTCTGCGCAAGTGCATTGCATTTCAGAACAGCTGAGGCACGGCAATCCGTTCTGCAGCGCCTATCAGCTGGGCTAAAAACGAACAAATGTAGGTAGGTATAGCACAGGGGTGGGCAGGAGGGCCCAGTTGACGGTCGGAGCAAACCAGTTCGCTCTCAGCTCACCATCGCTGCTACTGGCTCGCCCGAACTGGGGTGAACGGGTAGAAACCCACCACTGTCCCTGATACTAAATCAGTAGTAACTATGGCCCTATATCATAGATAACTGAATACATTTTTCCTTGCCTATATGAAGGTCCATAAAAATATTTTATTTTGACATAGATTAATTATTGGTAGCCATTAAACATTTTGTACGTACAATTTTTTCTAAGAAAAAATACCTGTTGAGGTGTAAGTATTTCTTTATGTTCATTTATATATGATATGGTTCTTGATTATTTTTCTCAAATTTATTTATTTAGAGTTTGGATACAGACAAACCTATGGAACCAGTTAAAAGATCCCCTCTTCGCCAGGATGCTAATATTGCCAACTTCTCTTATCGCTTTTCCATGTACAACCTGAATGGTAAGATTGATAAATTATTTCAACTGGGGGGGGGGGGGGGGAAATAAAGTTATATATTTGAGTACAAAACAAATAAAAAATCCTATTGAAATCTTATTATTTTGTCTATAAGTATACAGTACATATTATTTTTCTAAATAAAGTTCTCCTGGAGCAGAAATAATTTAAACACACATCAGATAAATTAGTAGTTTGACTTACACATAATGCTAAACCAATGGGATTGATTTGGTTTTGGCCCAGCATGATACATATGAATGCAGCCCATAAAGAAATTTATTGTTTATTCTTGTCAGTAAAATATTCTCCATAAGTATTGTTTATTAGCATGTGAATTTTGACTTGTTCTAAATATGGCTTGATTTATATTTTAATCCAGAATAATTAATTAATTTGTTCTCTGCCCATTTTCTCTGGGAAGTGGAAGATATGGAGAAAACAAATTAGGACATGAGGAATTCATTATTTCTTCGCTCTACAAAAATAGCATTAACTTGTTTATCAGACCATGGTTAAAATATTTTTTTTTTCTTAACAGTATGTGCAAAAACAGCCCATGCAGTAAAAAGAGAAAGCCTGACAATAATTTCCATAAATTGATCAATAACATTGTTAAGGCAGTCACATTTCTTCCCAAACTGCTGCTATTTCTGCCTGCATGTGAATGCACAGCTACTTCATCTTTTTTTCCCCAGCAAAACAAAGTGGCTGTGCATACAGATGCCTGCAGAGACACTTGTGAACAAGTTCTGAACCTGATCCATGAATCTAGAAGAAGAGATAATTGTTTTAATTTGAGTGGGGGAAATCCAAAGAACCTCTTTTTGATGGCTTTGCATGGTCCAACTAATCAAGTAAATCTAACATTAAACTAAAATATCTTTGATATAGTGGAACCTGATAATTGGAATTGGAATATTGTTTATGTTCTTGTCATTCACTGCAGAAGCCTTGAACCAAGGTGAGACTGTAGATCTTGATGCTCTTATGGCAGATCTTTGTTCCATAGAGCAGGAGCTCAGTAGCATTGGGTCACAGTCCGCCAACAGTGCATCAATGAAATGTTTTCCCATAGAAGGGAAAATGACCCAGAAACCATCAAGTGGTAGCCGACTTCCTTCCAAGCACGGTAGCATGAAAGGATTATCTTCATCTAGTCAAGTAACAAAGCCTTCACATGCTGTCTTCTCTTTGGATGACATTACTGCACAGTTAGAGAAAGCGTCTCTGAGTATGGATGAAGCAGCTCAGCAATCTATAATTGAAGATAGCAAACCTGTAGTTGCTATTCAACATAGGAGGACAGCATCAGCTGGTACTGTGAGTGATGCTGAAGTCCGATCTATCAGTAATTCCTCCAGATCTAGTATCACATCTGCAGCATCCAGTATGGACTCCCTGGACATTGACAAGATGACAAGACCTCATGAATTGGAGTTGACTTCCCACGGGCAGCCCATCAGTGAGGTAAACTATAGTTGATCGTTCATAGCAATTAAGCTTCAAAATATAATTCATTGGTTCATTCTGGGCCCTTTATAAAATAAAGAGACAGCTTTTTACTATTTTCCTGTTTTCCTCTTATCGGTTGCTGCATAGGAGTCTTCTGGAGAGGACATCCATAACAAATTTCATTAATGATTATGATAATAAGTGCTTAGATACAAGAGCAAAGTGATATTTAATCTTAAACAATAACTTTTTAATAACACTGCTTGTTTGTTTGCACAGCTAAGGATTTAAATATGGGCTTCCCCAAGATATACAGTATAAGCATCCATTTTCATGTTATGGATGCTCTGTGGTATTATCTGAAAAAAAAACAAACCACAATTTGTTATTAACTAATGCAATCTACATTGCACAGTGTTCTGATGTTGGCTAAGTTGTTCTTATGGCACAGACCTTTCCATTGACCAAAACTGCAAAGAAAAAGACCAGAATCATTCAGCAAAGATGGATATTAGTTTAGTTGACTTCATAACTTTGTATGAATTCTTTTGAAAATTGAGTTGATTTAAATCACAATTTAAATCATGATTTAAATCACTAGTAAAAAGGCTTGATTTAAATCAACTCGATTTAAATCATAATTTTTAAAGAGCAACTGTCATCTCTGCTACTCCTTTGACCTACTGTTGACTCACCGATAGTCCCAGTGTTGCAGAATATACAGCCTCATGCTACATAACTAAGCTCCATTTCATGCTAAATAAACTAAATTATTTATGTATCTTAAATAGAAAACTATCTTACGATAGATTTTTACCCCAAAAGTTTCTTATTAAAATAAATTCAATAAAAATCAAAAAAATCCGATTTAAATCAAAAAATTCTGATTTTTTTTTTATTTTTAAAAAAAAAACATTGATTTTTATCCACCCTGGAAGCCATGTTGGGGAGGTGACAGATAGGTAAACTGGATTGTGACTGCAAAGAGAAAAACTGAGGTATGGAAAGAAATAGAACAAGTAATGGAGAAAGAGATATTGTCTGAGGTAAAGGAGATAAAAAATGTGGAAGCCTTAATAAGAGACAAGTAAAAAGAGTCTGGAATTTGAAAATGAATAGGTTCTCAATGAAGGAAAAATATGCTAGTTCTGAAGCGGTTATTAAGAGGTAATGAGGATTTGGTACCCTGTATGTGTTGAATTTTAAATGCTATTCTTACCAGCCAATTCTTTGATTGTAGGCCGTTCTTAGGGAAAAACAAGGCCTGAAAATTTTTATCATGAGGACATGAGGCGTCCTTGGTGCTCTCTAGCACTGATGATGTTACCTAGTTTGGGTAATGAAACATCTGCAAGAAAACAAGCAAGCTCAGAGAGCACCAAGGACCCCTCATGTCAACCCTGAGCTACAAATATTCTTTATAAATTATATGATGAAGAAGAAGAAAAACCTAAAAATCTTGAAATAATTTGAAACCCTTTTCTAAAACGAATAACTTAATTCAAATGGTGACAAGTAATACATATCAACAGTTCATTGCCACAGATTAAATATAGATTTATTCTTCCAGTGTTCAGTACAAACTCATACACAAAACTCATATACACACCATACACACACATTCTTGTTTTGTTTTGTAGATTCCAAGCCCTAAGATACAATCAAGATAAACATATTAACAACATTTTTGACCTGCAACGTAGTCTATAACCATGTTAATAATCCAATGGATTTCTACTCCAGATGGATATTCCTAGGACAAGCCTGGGACACTATACATGAGTTAATGTTCCAATTTCTGATTTGCATTTCTGATAGGACAAAAATGATGGACAATCTCTATTAAACATTCTATGAATTGTCCTATGAATATATTATGTAAAAAAGATTTTAAATTGTACTGACATCATTTTAAGATCAAAGAAAATAAATGCCATACTCTTACAAGAACAGGACAAACCTGTTATATCAGAGATAACATGAATTATTAACACTAATTTCATCAAATGCCTTCATCTAATTATAAAAAGTGATTGCAGGCCTAATCCTAATCACTGCACTGTGAGCTGAACCCACAGACATGACTTTTTCCAGCTTACATGATGAATGAGTTGGATAATGCATGTTTTATTGTTTGTACGGATGTTTTATTTTGTTTTAATTTTTCTTAGTAAGCTACTGTGAATTTGAATTTGAATAATGACATATGGATGTAATAAATGAATGTGCAATCCTCCATCCCCCACTTTCTCCATTTCCTGTTCCACATTTTGGGGGAATCTGAAAAAATATTGTGGTGGGGAATCAAAGAAACTTCAATTAATCAACAGCCCTAATTCATTATTCTCCCTTCTATCTTTATGTGCTATCAATACTCCATAGCGCTCAGTGATTACACTGTGATTTAGATTCATCTGATCTCATTTGTTAGGAAGATAAAGTCATTCCAGATCCTTGTTTATTTTGTAATGTGTACAAAATCTATCATTTCTAAATTACTAAATTTCCTTTGTCCCAAAATCTAGGCTAGAATTGGCTAGAATTGGCTAGGCTAGAAGGTATGAGAATTGTAAGATTTATGTGTTCATTTATTTTTTTTAAAAAATGAATCTCCATTTGCAGTAATTTTGTTTGTTTAGAAATAAAGGAGAAAATTTTCCTTATATGCAATTCATATTTGTATTAATGTTAAGAATATGTTTATTAATATTATTTTGGCCTACAGCATTGTGAGCAACATAAATGTCAGAATGACAAATGAAACTCAGGAAGAAGGAAAGGATTAAGAATATTCTGAGTGGCAATCCATTTACACTGATGAACATTGCCTACTGTGTTTTAAGCCTGTGATTTTACTCCTACATTACTATTTAATGTTGTTAGTTCCTGATCAGAATTTGCTCTTTTACTTTAAAATATGGTAATGAGGGATTCATAGTTTCTTTTTCTTTCTTTTCTATGTTATTAAACATAGTCCTAAATAATAATATGAGAGGGTCAGAAATGTAATGTATATTTTCCATTATGTTAGTTGTTTTTGAATTGTAAAGGATCTGGGAACAAGGCAGTATTATCAGTAAAACAAATAATTAAGGAGGAAAGGAAAATCAGTAGGAATGCAGCCTAGCAATGAGAAGCATTCTTTCCTCAATATGTAGTAGCCAAGCAGTAGTAGTAGAAATCAGAATTTGTCAAATGAACAAGTAGGGAGAGATATGTAAAGAAGGGAGATGCTGGAGGATTGAGTGTAGTTACCCAAGCAGTTGGCTGAAGAAGACAAGGATGCAGCCATACTTAGTGCACCTCTGCTTGTGTGGTTTAAATAGGTTGTGTCTGCTAAATAGGCAAATGGCAGCTAAATATGGTAGCAGATCAAAGACTATTAGATAAGTTGGTGTACCGGAGAGAAAAGATTGTTATAGCAATACAGTCTGACCCAAATTCTATAAAAATGTTTGAAGAGTTTCTGAGAACTACACTATGTCCTTTGAAGGTCTATGTATATCCCTAGTTTGTAAGCGTTGAGAGTGGCATTGGGGGAGAGGGAAAATGGCAAAAATATCAGGCCATCACAATACAAAAGCTCTACCTCATTCATCTGTGTATCGTGACATCACACATACTTAAAGGGTCTCCCCCTGCCTTTTGAAGTTTGAAAATGTTAAAACATTAAAACGATACAGATTAAAATATTATTTAAAACTCTACTAAAACTGAAACTCAGAGAGTGAAGGAGTGAATATAGGAGAAGTGAATATAGGAGAACAATGAGGTCTTCTTACCCCATCAGCCACCTCCACTAGTGAGCTGTATCTGTACAGTTGGCAAAAGAAAGAAAATGATAAATTACACTTACAATTATAGAATGAAACAAAATAGTCTTAACATTGGACATATTAAAGGATATTCTGAATGATGGACTCAAACGTTAATAGTGTCAAAAGAGACATTTTCTCTTTGGGGAGACTATCTAAAAAATGTTATAGAAGAGGACCAAGTTCTGTGTGACAAGAAACGTAGTTGAAAGTGAATTCACAAATGAATGGCAAGAATGACATGGAAAAAGATACTATACACCAGGAGGAGCCTGGTGGTGCAGTGGACTAAACTACTGTTAAAGTAGTATTTAGCTGCCAACTGCCTGCAATTACTGTGAGTTCAATTCTCACCAGGCTCAAGGTTGATTCAGCCTTCCATCCTTCCGAGGTAGGTAAAATGAGGACCCGGTTTGTGGGGGCAATAAGCTGACTTTGTATAAAATAGAACACCGCTTGGGGGGGGCCAAAAGCCCTACTAAGCAGGTATATACAAAAGTATGAAGGCTATTGCTTAAAAGCATTGTAAGCCACCCTGAGTCTCCAGAGAAGGGCGGCATATAAATCAAACTAATAAATAAACAAATAAATATACTGGTCATACTGGTGAGATATATACTGTTGAGATCATCCGTGGCTTCGGGGTGGATTTCCATCAGTATGCTGATGATACTCAGCTGTACATTTCCACCCCGGGCAACCCCAATGATGCCCTTGAAGTGATGACCCGGTGCCTGGAGGCCATACGGATCTGGATGGGGAGAAACAAGCTCAGACTCACCCCCTCCAAGACCGAGGGGCTGTGGTTTCCGGCATCCCGTCAAGATAATACAGCTGTATAATTTTTCACTTTTTGTTCAGCTTTTGACTTTATTCCAGTATTTGTTTTTGTTTTTAAATAATATCCAAGGAAACTCACTCATAAGGTTTTTTGGTCACATATTTAACATATCACTGTTTGACTTACATGCAATATTGGGAAACTGAAGAAAAAGGCTAGGGTTTTTTTAAAAAAATATACTGACATACTATTTTCCATTAAGTCATAAATTTTGAGTCATAGCATTTCTTAGCAAAGCATGTTCTGTAGAAAACAAGTCAGCAGTTTCCCAATCTTTCTAGCAATCTCAGTATAACTGATTCAGCCCTTATTTTAAAATATGTGTCATCACTATTACAGGGTGCATTTATTAAAGTGATAACTCAGAAGAGGGCAAGTTCTACTTCCTTTCTCAGAACTCTTTGTGAAGTAATGAAATAAACATTAAAAGAATCAAAGCAATGAGTTAAAACATTAATAGAAACAAAAACCCAAATCCATTGTCGGCAGTGGGCACTGTAATTAAATTTGAAAAGTTGATAAAATGTAAACCAGAAAATTGATTTAAAAGACCAGTGTAGATACAGTGTTTATTTTTCCTGGTATATAAAGCTAAATATTTAAATGCAGGTGCTCTGGAACTAAAATAGATTCTGAAAAATATGGTCTCATAGATGAGGAAGCTCAGAGAAGAGTCTCTCCAGATCTCAAATTTTAGGCAGGTTTTTATGGGAGAAAGCAAGTAAATTTGTAAAGCAGGGTGGGCAATTCCTTAGTGGCTGGGCCTGCGTTAATACTGTTGAGGGACAGAAGGATGAATTCATGGTAGTTTAAGAGCACACAATACAAGGATTTTCCGGTTACCTTCCATGCTCCTGGTTTGATAGGTGATACAACATTGTTTTTTTTCCATTTTTTAAAAAAAAGTAATAAAGTTATTTATTTCAGATAGGTTTCATATAGGCTTTGCCTATTTCTCACCCATTAGTGTATTCTTGTATTTTGTTGTCAATTGTGGTCAGAGGCTGTGTAGGGGTATGTAGCTCTGTGCTGCCCACTTCTGCTACAAACTCTTAATTGGTTTAGCAGTACAGTAACATTTGCTCTTCTCATCCTTTTGAATCACTTAAACTGCTGGGTTGAATAAAATTAACAGTACCTGAATTAAAATCCATAATCTGTATAAATGAAGGTTTAATCTCTCCAGTACAGTTCATCCCAAAAGCATTAAATTATAAAATATGGAAATCTTGCTTGGCAAGTTCATAAAATGGTAAAAACTGGCAGTCTTTTAAGACGTATGTTGGATTGTAATTTAGTAGCATTGCCATTTTCAGCCCAAACAGCATTTCTGGCCAGTAGTATGTGGCCACGCGTTGCTTGGCTTGTAAAATCAACCAGAGAATCAAAAACACATCCTGGAAGAAAGCCATAGCAAAAGAATTCTGTAGCGTGGCCAAGAAAATCCCCTCTTTATTGATCCCTCAAGGTAAGACAGCACCTAGTTCCCAGGGCCAATCACAAAATTAAGTGTGCTCAGACCTGGCTTACTTTTGCATGGGGGATAGCTGGGAAGGGTTTTTTTAGCTGCACAAGCTACTTTTGTAATGCTACTAAGAAAATAGTTTAGACACAATTCCTAAGAGTTAAGGGGTTAGCACCCCTTTAACTTTACATGTTTCAAATAGTAGTTTTGACAGGGAGGTCCTTTCAGTTTCAGTGAAAATAAGATCTAGTTCAGAAATAGGCGCTCTATTCTGATCTCGAAAAGTTGCAGCTGACTTTGTCACAATATGAAACAAGTATAGATTGTTCATTCTGAGGCTTGTGAATGTTTTGCAGTGTAGGATAAGGTTAAGCAATTATGTCAGGGCTTACTAATTATCCAAGGCACATTACTGCCATCTCCTGACTAGAAAATTATCTGACTTTTTTGTTATCTAAAATTGGGTAGTTTAATGTTTTAAAATAATATTTATGTGGTAATGATAGTGTTAGTAGCAATAGTACCCTTATGTATTGTGTATCTGTAACTAAGCATACTACAGATGTAGCTAGCTGCATATTAAAGTACTTAAATCATTTTTCCCTTTTAAAATTTTATTTTCAATTATTAAAATGACATTTAGCACATATCACCTGTGTTTCAATGCTATATATAGGGCAGTGTATACATACATACATACATACATACATACATACATACATACATACATACAATTTTCTAGCCTGGTGTCTTAACCACTAAATATCACCCAAAACATTAAAAGATGAAGGTTTTTTTTTTTTTTTTACAAAATTAATATCTTAAAGTAAGCACAGGCAAAAGCATAATAAATTACCTAAGTATGCTTTTAAACAACATTTCTAGAAGAACATGATAATGGTTATAGAACTTTGTTACTTTGCTTTTTATTGAAGTTTTTAATCATTTCCCCTTAAAATATTTGCTTGCCTTCAGTTGCTTTGGTTTGCGAAATTTTGCAGCTAAATCTAGTCATTGACAACAATGGTTTTACTTAGTTCATTTCCTAATATATTATCTAAGAAAAAAGCAAAATGTAGGTTTAAAATGGTAGTAACAAAATATTGAAAGCAAATATTTTAAAGAGTAAGTAATATGAAATAGAGTAATATGCAGTGGTGGGATTCAAGTAATTTAAAACTGGTTCTCTGTCCTAATGATTTCTTCCAATAACCAGTTTCCCAAACTGCTCAGAAAGTTAACAACTGGTTCTCCTGAAGTGGTGCGAACTGGCTGAATCCCACCACTAGTAATATGCAATAATACACAAGGAAGATCCCTGATTTCTGTCTTTCTGCACTTTCTGCTCTTCCTTTCAATGTTGCTATGCTCACTATACTGCCAAACAGAACTATGAGACTGGCCATGTTATTTGGAATCTTTGTCTCCAAGTAGATAATTTACCTAAAAGTCAAAAAGAACATCTGAAAATTTTTGTGTTAAAAACACTATAGTGATGACAGAATGATCCCTATAGAAGAGGTATTAGACAAATATTCACAAGGTGTTTCTTTTGCAGTTTTTCTCTGAGCAGAGTGTTTATCTGCCCTTAAGAATTGCTGAAGATAGTTTGTTAAAAAATGCAAGGGTGCAGTGACATGGAAGAATAAACTGCTTAAGATAGTAGTGCTACCTGGAGATTAATCAACCAGATTCTTACTACTGTGCTTTCAAAAATTCTACCTCAGTCTTCGTTTCTGGCCATATCTCTCAAGTGTCTGCTTTAGCATCTCTCTTGTTTGGCCACTGCCCCTTTCTACCAACATCTAGGAAGAACACGATCTCTGCAGCAATTTATTTATTTAATTAATTTATTTATTTATATTGCCGCCTATTCGCCCATGGCGACTCAAGGTGGCTTACAGAATATAAAATCACATTTAAAACAATAAAAACTAACAAAAAGAATCAAATTAATATAGTACAATATAACAAAATCACCTGCCACCCCCTGCCACGACGACGACAGATCACACGAGCCATTTAATGGGCTCCATTCCGCTCTGGGTTCCCCAGGCCCGCTGGAAGAACCAGGTTTTCAGCGCCTTCCGGAAGAGTGCTAGAGTGGGAGCCATTCTAATCTCTGGAGAAATGATGTTCCAGAGAGAGGGAGCCACCACGGAGAAGGCCCTTCTTCTGGGTCCCACTAGGTGTATCTCCCTCAGGGATGGGACCCACAACATTCCCTGCCTCCCCGCTCTGATTGGTCAGGTAGATGTGACCAGCAAGAAGAAACAGTCCCTCAGATAGTTTGCTCTACCATTAGTTTCCGGGATACATAGAAACAGTCAGCTGGCTTTGTGAGGAAAAATTCAGTTTTAACCAGTGGTGGGATTCAAGTAATTTAACAACCGGTTCTCTGCCCTAATGATTTCTTCCAACAACCAGTTCACCAGACTGCTCAGAAAGTTAACAACCGGTTCTCCCGAAGTGGTGCGAACTGGCTGAATCCCACCTCTGGTTTTAACCAAAAGTTAAATATCCTCATTTCAGCCTTTGTTAGGCCTACCTCCAGTGCTGCATTAAGAAAGCAAAACACCATTTGGAAGCCTTTGTTTAGAAGGTTTGTCTGAATAGTCGCTAATAGAAGAGTTTACATTTCATCCTATAAGAATAGTGTACTACAGGTTTATCCACAAAAATGATAATAGATGGAATATACTGAGTTCCCCTAGTATAGAAGAAATAGAAAATAGTTTCAGTGGCAATGGGAATAGATTAAAACTGAGCATTCTGGATAATACAGTCCTGAACAGGGCTATAGTTATTTGATTATATTGTTTTAAAATGGTTGAAATACCATTTTTTCATTATATTATGTGGGTGAAATTCTGGCTAAAATTGTATGCTAGAATATTTCTATAAAATTGTTAAGGAGTAGTTCCTAGAAAATTTCAGAATTGGGATGGAAAGGAATTTATAGATGTTTTTAAACTATGGCACCATTCTGGCAGCTTGCTTAATACTTTGCTTGAAATATACCTAAAATCCTATTTGTGCTTCAGTTGAAGAAGAGAAATTGTTCTTATCTATTGCTGATCATACACTATAAAATGACTGCACTGGCTTTCTTGTGATTTAATTTCTTTTCTTTTCTTTTCTGCACAAGCACTCCTATTTGGACAGGGAAACCTCCCTTCTTCTGAGAAACATTGCAGGAAAGCCTTCTCATTTGCTGACCAAGGTGATATGCTACTTACTTCCCACCTGCATGTGACCATTTAATCCTAGGTAGTAGTGGAATTTGTATAGTGTGTATATGTAAATTTGGACTTTATATCTAGTAGCTTTTGTTTTATGAAAATGATTTTTCCTCTGGTCAAAGATGAGCAAGGCATCATTAAATTTATTTGCATGGTTTATTTCCCTTGTTAAATCAAAATGTTATATTGCATAGAATCTAAATGCATTTATTGTTGCCAGGTGTCATAAAACAAATACAGAAATCACATAGCTTTAATGAATGTCAAAATGGTCCTGAAATCATTTAAGGAAATCTGTTTGTAAATAAATGTTAATGCTCTAATCAGTTCTCTCATTTTAAATCTTTGTGTAGTTATTATTGTATATAATCATAATCCATAAACTGCTGTCAGTTAACAAGGAAATAGATTGTCACCACAAATAATAAAGTCATTGATTTCCAGTAGATAAATGAAGCCAACCATAGATCAGAACAAATCAAAACATTATTATGGCTAAAAGCCAGCAAGAAGAACAGACAAGTAATTTATATGGAAGGAACTTAATCTTCAAGATGTATCATTTGGCATATTCTTGATACTAGACAACAAAGACAGACATAGAGATTAGTCACTGATATATGAGAAATTGAAAATTTTGTACATCTTAACATCTAATTCCTTTTATTAGAGCATAATTTTTTCTGAATTATAGCCTGCCCATACGTGGGGAGAAGATTAAAAAGTAAAAGGTTACAGGGAAATGAAATATTGCTAGTATATTCAGTGTTACTGTGCTTTTCAATAGAATCTCTCTATATATTGGTGTGACAGATGTTTTTGCACTATTGAGATAATGAATTCATCTTTGTCTCTATTTAATCCATGGAAATTTCATCTCAATTATTTTATCATAAAATAAATTGTTATTTTCTTGGTCATCTTGAGATCAGTTACAAAATATCCATGAAAGCTGGAGTAGTCTGCAGTTATTTTGGGGAAATTAAAATTTCTGATGCTAAATTTGTATCTGTTTCCTATATGTTCCATATCAGTTGTCCTCCCTAGAGTTTGGTGAGCTATTAGTGGTAATGATGACTACATTAAAGTGGATGATGATCAGATTTGTGAATTCTTGCTATTATTAATAACATTAAGTCTTCTAGTGTCAGAGTAGATACCGGGACAAAGTTAGTTTCTCAGTCTATGACAAGGTTTACCTCTCATGGCTGTATCATTGTATCTATTGTCATAAACAGATAGGTGTTCCCCGTGCTCGTGAAAGGGAGAAAGTAACTTATTCCTTATGTAAATATGAATTTATAATTCATAAAAGCTTATGCTGCAATAAATGTTACTGTTGAAACAAGGTTCTGCATGGCATTTGTCACAACAGATTAAGTTAATTGCTCCTTCCCTCAGAAAATTAAAATATTAGTTTAATTTGTAGAAATAGCTTTCTATTCTAGAGAAAAGCTGGCATTGTTTGGAACTTGTTGATTGGCAAGAATTCATTTAAAATAAATTGAAATAATGAAGCCTCTAAATGTATAATTTTGCTACCATAAAAGCCCTGTAAGGCATTTACATCAGGTGGGAAGAGAATGTGACACATAGATGTCCCACCCCTGTTTCTTTTTCCCTTTTGAATACTCAAGAATCTTAAGAGGAATCTCTTTGGTGTGCTTGAATATGAAGACAGCTGCCAGTGCCATCTGTAGCATTCCCAAATTGCCAAAGTAATGTCCCCATATTGAACAAACATGAGTGCTGATATGCCCTCTTTGCACCATTCTCTCCACACATGGCAAATACCCGAGTGAAACTGCCCAAAGGCCTACTTCAAATATAATGTGGAAACTGTGCTTTCTAGTCATATGAAAAAGTCACAATCTTATCATGTTCCTCCTCTTCTTCTTAACATCGGTCTAAAGTTGAGAACAATCCAGGATAAATTTAGGATTCAATTCAACTCAATTCTGAATTCAGAATTGCCCTTATAAACCACAGTTTACCAAACCACAATGTCCTGAATTCAGCCATCATATCCTAGCTTAAAATATGTATTTGTATTTGTTAAATTTATTTGCTGGCTAACTCCCTGTGGGGTCACTCTAGGCAGCTTACAATAAAAAGGAAGAAATGAAGAGTGTAAACAGAAAAGAAATAAGATAATAGAACAATAAAACAAACAATGAAAAAGAACACAGAATACATCAATAAGAAAAACAAAAAAGATGGACAGGAATATGAAGCAGGTTCTGGTGTCCTCATATCATATAAAGAATAGAATTTGCAATCAAGGCTTGTTATATTTCATTTCAGGAAGCCTAACTGAATATTTGATTTAGTACGTTAAATTTCAGATCTGTACATTTATTTTAGCAAAATCTGGGAACACTGACTCTGGGTTGTGGGTTTCTCTGTGCCAGTTAGTATGGATAGATGGTATAGAATCCAGCAGCTGATTTTAGGCAACATTTAAGTGCATTGCAGTTTTGCCACATAAATCTTGCTCTAGGCTACAGCAGTCTACTAAAGTTTCAGGTTCCTTACAGACGGAGTCATCATTACATAAAGTGAGTGACAGCATTTTTAAGTTAATTGATCACATTTGCACTTCAGCAGAAAGTTTAAGGCAATCTTAAGATTTATGCAGTCACAATTTTAATAAGCTAATACAGTATGTTTAAAATTAATTTGATTTTCAACAAGTTCATTAAATTGTGTTGGAGTTTAATAGGTAATCTCGAAATTTACAATACATTCTTTTTATTTGGATGATTCTGTGATGTTTTACCATATGAATCCCCTAGATATAAAGACTAAAATATTATTTACCTCATCATTAATGTTCTGTAGCAAATAAAACTAACATTCCAGAACAAAAGTCATTTTCTGCTATTTCACAATCTTTGGTTTAAATATAATTCATCATTTGTGCAATTTAAATAGTAGCATCGTTTTAACATTTAGATGCATGTTTAGATGAGGGGTGGGTTTCACTTACCTTTGCTACTGGTTTGCACGCGTCCATGCACTCACTTCACTCATGCCACCCCATCTGCGCATGTGCAGAAGGTTCTGCGCATGTGCAGGTCGTATTTGATGACGTCTGGGCAGGTCCCGCCACTGGTTTAGATGCATGCCATAGAAATAAAGATTATAGTTTTAATTTTGTTTTCAGCAATTATGTTAGCTAATTTGTTAAAACAGCTAATTTGCTGTTTTAAAATTTTGCTTAGAAACAGCATTGTATTTTAATGTTTTTTTCTTGCACATTTAATTAATACTAAAAATCAAATGGGAAAATCAACAAAACAGTAACAAAGTATTTCCTTTGTTTCATCTAAAGAATAGCATATAATACCCAACAGCTAGTGTCTTGTGAAAATCTTGTGAAAATAATTGGTAGGATTCAAAAGAGTTCGTTAGGTCTATGCCAAAGCAGAAGATAAACATGAAATTTTGAAATAAGCTTGAATTTGAAGTGAAAAAACTGTGAAAGAGAACTATAAAACCAATTAATATCATTGCATTATTTTTAATACTGTCCAGTGTTTATAATAAAGATATTGGTAATGAAAAATGCATACAGAAGAACAAACTAGTATACTAATAATCTGCATTATTTTTAATTATTGTTTTCTATATGTAGCAAATATTTATATGCACTTTTTAATGCATTTTTTAAAAACAACTTTTTAATTCAAAATATTTTTCATTCCAGTATTCTTGCAAACATGTTTCTAAAGAGATGAATTTCATAACTAATAACCATAACTCTTTACAAAGTATAAAGCTTTTTAACTTCAGCTTTTTTAATAATATTTTTTTACTGAAGTTTGAAATGCATTTAGTTGGTTAAATAATAAATAAGCAAACTACTATTTAATTAATGCTTTTAAAGAATCAGAAGAATACGGATCATAGTTTAGAATGAAGAATTATTCTGAGTTTCAGAATTATTCTCAGAGATTTTTATTACTGAAAAATATGCATTATTCATACCCCTTTAAGTGCTATAAAGTCTATATGTAAGAAGCTATATGTCAAACCAAATTTACACCTCCCAAAAGAAGTATATGACTATATCAAATTGTATATCTATCCAGTATCTAAAATAATAAAAAGAGTGAAAAGAATTGTCCTGCAATGAAAAAGCAATTGTCCTAATATTTTTAAATTCACCATGTTCTCTTTCCCTTTTTTTTTTTTTTTTAAGAACTGGGACCTGTTAATTCAGAATGACTTATTTGAACAAGTATCATTTTTGGAGATGGTCTCATTTTTATCTGCTAGTTTTCTGATAATCTATCCAGTGGTAGGATTCAGCCAGTTCGCACCACTTTGGGAGAACCGGTTGTTAACTTTCTGAGCAGTTTGGCAAACAGGTTGTTGGAAGAAATCATTAGGGCAGAGAACCAGTTGTTAATATACTTGAATCCCACCACTGAATCTATCCCCTCCCCCTTTCTCTCTTACAGGGTGGAGTCAGGAAAAAACTCCTACCTGCCATTATAATTTTCCTTGGACATTTCAGTAAAAACTCCAGGGAGCAATAAAAAAAAATGTGCTTATATTGCTTACTGTTATTGTGTTCAGATTTAAGCAGTGTTTGAATAGAAAGAGCAATATTTCATTTGCATTAATTCATTTCTTGCAACTATGTTGGTCTCACTTTATCAAACTACATTGTATGGGGAGAGGGGAGGGTATAAGTGTGTGCACATGTGATCTTATTGTGCAATTAACCTTGTCTCATTCTGAAGGGCAAAATCAGTTAATTCAGAAAACAGACTGCCTGTGATTTTTTCTTTGCTCCTCATACTTCATAGCTTGCTATTGTCAATTAAAAGGGGAAAATGTAAAACACTTGTTTTATTGACAGTGGGTTTTTTATATCCTTTTTTGCATGTTGCCTTGAGTTGCTTTGGATTATAGAGCATTTAAATATAGAATAGATACAGTCTGAAAAACAAATTTTTTAATGGTGAGATGATGATAGCATTTTTAGAAGCACATAGAATTTAAAGCAATTATGTAGCCAGTTTTTTTTTCAGACTAATTTCCATCAAAAATGTAGTAATGATTGTAGTATCAAGTAAAGGTGTGAACTTATTAAGTCATTATGAACTGATTGACCCCAAATTAAATTATTATAAATGTTTGAAGAATAGTTATCAGCTTTTAAATTGGGCTAATATTGTCGTGTTGGCTAGCAAACTTTACTAATCAATATTATTTTAAGATAAAACAGAACAGGTTTTTTTCAATTAAATATTTTGTTCTTTAATGTGTAAAAAATAAAAAATACCCAACTTAAAATATTGGGTAGGTGGTAAATTCACTCTGCAAACATGGCTTCTTTTTTATTCACAATTCAGTCACCACAAAAAAACCCACAATTGTTCCTACTTTTTCATTCTAAATTATTTTTACCTTTTGAAGAAATCACTCCAAAGTGAAAGGAATGGAGAGTGTTCACCAGAAAAAGCAATTCTTATCAAAATATTGTTACTTCACTAAAGTCTGAATATAAATAGTTAAATGGGTTCCAATGATTCATTGGTAGGACTTTGAAATGTCAGCAAAAACATGTATTGCTTGAATGGTGTTAAAATGAATTACAGTAGATACTGATGGAGAAATGATGGCTAGTATTTCATATCCAATTTATTTTTATTTTACTTATTTATTTGCACCCTACCTTTATTATTTTTACAAATAACTCAAGGTGGCAAACATATCCAACATACCTTCCTCTACCTATTTTCCCCACAGGGTGAGGTTGATTGGGCTGAGACAGGGACTGGCCCAAAATACCCAGCTGGCTTTCAAGGCTAAGGTGGGATGTGAATTCACATTCTCCCACTTCGTAGCCTGGTGCCTTAATCACTAGCTCAAACTATTCCTCTGCAACAATTAAGGATTGGATTTAATTCTGACTATTAAAGAATTGGGGATAAAATTAGCAGAGATGGGCTGTTCCTTTGCTTTTTGGAATTTGTATTTGTTATTGCCTCTACCTTTAAAGCTATACTCCATTCTTTCCAACTAAAAGTATCAGAAATAAAACTTTATCTGCGCTTTGTTCATTGTCACAGAAATAGGCTTTAGGGGAGTTATCTAATAATATTCGGCTCCATGTTGAGCCATTGACACTGACAGTTTCATGTTTTTCTTTACAATTTTTTAATTTGCAAATTCAGAAATCTAATTTCTGAATTTCTTTTATCTTAAACAAACATACAATATTATCCATGATGAAGATCCATAATATAGATTTGAAATTATTTTCATAATTCATTATAATTTTCCCTACTGCTGCTTAATATTTGTGCATTTCCTCATTTATAATTTTACTGAACAAATATAATTTGTTTCAGTAAGGACAAGTTGATAAAAGGATTTGACTCTGTGACTTAATATAGGCACATATAAATAATTGGAGATATTGTTCTACCTGCCAAAATTACCAAAATTATTTATCTACTGCTCTCTATATTCTTTACATGCTTTATCCAAATGTTTATCTGTAATTTCTACTCTGATTAACTTTATCGTGGTCAAAATGTATAATAAGATGAGGTGATTGAAGATTGTATACTCAGTCATATAGTCAGAGTAAACATGAGAATATGAAACACATTGGATATATTATGAAATGATACACTTTTGATTTGAAATATATATATAAGGTAGAGAGGATGTAACAAGTAGGTGCTATCATTTTAATATATATTAGGAGATTTTAGAATATTTGTGGTTGTGATTTAAAATAAGGTTGTAAAATTTCTGGACAGTTGTGAAATCACTAGGATGGGAATTTAATAAATAAAACTACATTTATTTTACTAAATCAAAAGTACTTGTCTTTTTAGAAATTGGCCATAAAATCCTGTTTGATGCATCCATAATAACAGTATGATTGATCCATAAATTAAATAATTTTGGGTAGGTGATTTTGCTTAAAAAAACCAAATGAGAAAGACTATAAAGGTAAGCCTGTGGTAAATACTAACATACCAGTTATAAAATGTACCAATCAGTTGTACTTCCAGAAAATGGATGCATTGATATAATTTCTATAATCTATGCATCAAGCGATTATCCCAATTTTTTTTTAAACTTCATTTGCATCTACAATATTTTTATTTTATATACAAAGTGCTGAGTTGTTAGGAATATTTTTCCCATTTGATTTGTGCTACAGAACTCTCTCTCTCATTTTTGTTTTCAAACTACATGAAATCCTTTTTGTATTGGATATGATGAGCTTTTATCCGACCTCCAGAATCTTGTTTCCTTTATAATTGTTTATTTAGATACTGTTTCAGGCCTCATTTATCTTTGCTCTTATCAATTTACTCATTAGTTTCATTGAAAATTACTATGTTTCTGATGAACATTACTTTTGCCAGCTGTTGCCTTTTTCACTATTAATTGGACAGTAATACAGATGGAACTTGAAGAGGCAGGCGGCAGCTACAGAGAGCTAAGGAATAATTCAGAAATCTTCATGAAAATAGAAAAGGCAGCATATAGTAAATGTTACTATACTGTAAAATCCCTGTGCTCAACCAGGTGCATATGAATAGCACATACTGATGGGAAGTTTCCTGTAAACATTAGATTAGCATGTGGTATCTTTTTTAAAAAAGTTATTTATTTATTTATTTATTTATTTATTTATTTATTTATTTATTTTACAAACGTATCAAATCAATGCGTGAACAGTGTGCCACCTGGCTGTCAAACATTTTAATACAAATACTAATAAAATTAATCATAATTATTAGATTCAATCAACTTATATATTTCTAATAATGATACACAATTATAATAAGTTGCAATCTATCATTATTCAATTATTCCATGTTTTATCTTATTGTTACTTTTGTTTTATTATATAAAAGTGTATACACTAACATTCCCCCTTCTCTTATTTCTATCACTTATTCTAACATTTAATCATAACACCTTTTACTAAAAACCATTTTCTTTCTATCCTACCTAATTTCTAGTCATGTCACCTACCTAAAACAAAAAAGAAAATAAAGAGAGAGAAAAGGAAAGCAAATCAAACCAACAACAGAGAAGAAAAATCATCTATCCATCATCTCTTGTCCGCTTCAATACTTTAATTGCTATGCTTTTTTTTAACTTGCCTCCCAAATTCCTCTCCTGGATCTCTATCTCTGTCAGAATCTGCTTCTTGGCTATTCAATCTAGGTATTTCTCCCACCTCTACCCTCTTCCTGCATGTGGTACCTTTTTGTATATGTCAAAAGTATTTTGAAAATACTTTTACAGTAGAAATCCATTTCATAGAACTCTGTCTTTTGTCTTTACTTTCTTTCTTTGAAGTATTCTGTTGGAGAATATAATTGGGAAGGGGGAAGATGGGAAAATCATTGATATATTGATATTTATGTATGTGTATCCAATCCAGTTATATCGCCCAGTGTTAAACCAAAAAAAAATATTTTCCCTAGGAGGAACAGGCTGCTAAACTGAAAGCTGAAAAGATCAGAGTTGCTTTAGAGAAGATTAAAGAAGCACAAGTTAAAAAGGTAAATTGTTCTTGCTTAATATATTTTAAAGTCAATGCAAACAATTAGTTCCTATTGAAGAAAATATACGGCATTAAAACTCTTGTTTCTTAGGTTATATTTCTAGTTCTACAGTTTATATTGCATTGCAATTCTAGCTATCAAGCAACTTTAACATATTCAACTTGGACTATAGCAACAGAAAGTTCCCTTTTAATGATTCCAGGATGTGGGTTGTATCCAGTTATATCCATTCACCGTTATATCCATTATAGTCGTGATGCTTTGTCAATCTCAAGGCATCATGGTGGCGTCATGTGACGTATTGGGACTTTTTCCCCCTTCACTAAACCGGGCATGGGCGTGGCCTGCACATGATCAGGAGCCATACAGGAGTTAAACAGGAATGGAGATAGGGTGAATCAGGGCTGTCAAACTCCTGGCCCATGGGCTGGATGCGTGGCCAGCACGTAATGCATCCAGCCCATGGGCCAGGAGTTTGACAGCCCTGAATCACCCTATCACCATTCCTGTTTAACTCCTGTGTGGCTCCTGATCTGCTACATAGGCCTCAGGGTATCTTTGCAGGGCATCTAGGGACACATAAAGATAGGAGCTAATTAAGGGTAGAATCATCTCAAACTAACTAGAGTTGGAAATGTAAAATTATACATTCAGTTGTATCATTGAAAATTCTTAGAATCTAGAATAGGTACTCCTTGCTTAACAGTAGTAACTGGGACTGGCGACTCTGTCACTAAGGAATGCAGGCATAAACCATTTATTTATTTATTTTATTTTATTTTATTTTATTTCTTTTTTTTTTAATGAAATTTTATTGAATAAAGAATATATTACAATTCAAACTTTACGGTTCGACAACGTGTAGTCATATATTTACAAGTGCGGTATCTAATCAATTATCTAAATATTATACAATTTATCCGAAAATTCTTATAAAATTAATTACAGCTAAATTATGATACAATAATATATAGGATTAATTAGTAGTTGTACATTGTTCCTCATAAGTATTAACTTTTGCGTTTATTTTGCAACCACCTATACCACAGATCCCAAATCGTGTAAAATTCTGAATCCTCCTTTCCGTTTAACACATACATTAATCTGCACATTTCTGCGCAGTCCAGTACCTTATTGACTATCTGTTCCTCAGTTGGACCTCTTTTCTCTTTCCAATATCTGGCATAGGAGAGTCTAGCAGCTGTGACAATATGAATAATCAAATATTTCTTATCCTTAACAAATGTTCGTTTTAGCACTCCCAGGAGATAAATTTCAGGCAAAAAGTTGATATCCTCATTTAATATTTCTTGGATCCATTTTTGTATTTTTTTCCAAAACTTCCTCGCTTCCGGACACGTCCACCACATGTGGTAGAAGGTACCTTGATAGTGGCCGCATTTCCAGCACTTGGTGCTTGCATTTGGATATATCTTTGCAATTCTAGATGGTGCTAGGTGCCATCTATACAGCATCTTATACTGATTCTCCTTATAGCTTATTGCTCTTGTCAGTTTAAGATTGCTGTTCCATATTTCTTCCCAATCATCTCAATTTATCTTTGAGTCGATATTTCTTCCCCAAGCAATCATTTGGTCTTTTAATATTTCTCCTTCTCTCTCATATTCGAGCAGGTAGGAGTATAATTTAGCTAATAGTTTATTCTCACTGCCTAGCCATACCTTATCAAAACTATTTGTCCCCGTCTCTATTTCCTTATCCTGTTTATCTTTACTATATCGGGATTTAATTTGTAAATAAGGCCACCAATCAATATGAATCCCTTGCTCTTTTAAAATCTCGTTAGGTTTAAGGTTACCACTGTTATCTAGAATGTCTTGATAGGTGAACATTTTCTCTCTACTTATTGCATTTGGATGAATCATTGCCTCCATTGTAGAGATCCATTTTGGGTATTTTAAATAATGTTTATGCCTAATTTCTTTCCATGTCTTCATTAATGTATCTCTAATTTTGTGTTGGTGGAAACATATGCCTGCCCTCTTTCCTTTATCCCAGAGATAGGCATGCCAACCTCTCAATAGGTCGTGCCCTTCCAGTTGTAAAATTCTTTTGTCTCTTAATGAGGCCCACTCTCGTAGCCATACTAAGTTGGCTGCTTTATGGTATAGCACCCAAACTGGGAGGCCGAATCCGCCTTTATTCCTTTTTTCCTGCAATGACCGTAATGCAATTCTCGGTTTTTTCCCTCCCCAAATAAATTTCCTTACTATCCCATTTAGATCCGAAAAATATTTTTTGTCAATACTAACAGGAGTGGTTTGAAACAAGTATATTAATTTGGGGAGAATACTCATCTTAATGGTGGCTATCCTACCAAGAAACGGTATTTGCAACTTCCCCCAACGTTCCAAATCTTGCTTGATCTTTGTCAATAAGGGTATATAATTGTCCTCCTTTAAGGTTGAGCATCTAGCAGTAATCCAAATCCCTAAATATTTTATCTTCTTAACTATTTGGATGCCCAAATTTTCTACTAATATTTCCTGTTCTCTTATTGGGATATTTTTTGTTAACATTTTAGTTTTTGTCATATTTAACTTGAATCCAGATAGCTTCCCATACTCGTCTAATTCTTTCAATATTTTTGGCCCGGTTGTTGACGGGTCCTCCATAATCAGCGCTACATCGTCGGCAAAAGCTTGAATCTTGAAAGTTTCATTTCTAATTTCCAATCCACGTATCTCGTTATTTTGCCTAATTTTCCTTAGCAATACCTTCAGAGCTAATATAAATAAGAGTGGAGAGAGTGGACAGCCTTGTCTTACCCCTTTACCAATCCAGAAACTTTTGGTCATATCGCCATTCAGTATAATCTTTGCACTCTGCTTATCATAAATTGTTTTTATCGCATTCTCAAAGTATCCCCCAAAATTCATTCTTTTGATTTGCTGGATCATAAATCCCCAATTTAGATTGTCAAAGGCCTTCTGAGCGTCGAGGAAGACCAAGGCCAGCTGTTTCTCAGAGTGTGTTTCATAATACTCCAGCACATCCATCACCACTCTCATATTAGTTCTAATCTGTCTGCCGGGGAGGAACCCGTTTTGGTCAGGGTGGATCCAAATATTTAGTATTATCTTCATCCTACCTGCTAAAATTCCCATAAATATTTTATAATCTGTATTAAGTAAGGAGATCGGCCTATAATTCTTTATTTGCTTGGGGTCGGTACCTTCTTTTAATACCAGTGTGATGAACGCCTCCTTCCACGATTCTGGGATCCTGGAGCCTCTCAGGCCTCATTACATATTGTCAGAAGTTTTGGTACAAGTATTTCTTCCAAATCCTGGTTTTTGTATAATTCTCCTGGTAAGCCGTCAGGGCCAGGGGTTTTATTGCTCTTTAATTTGGATATTACCCCCTTCAATTCCTCTGTTGTAATTATTCTATTTAACATTTCCCTTTCCTCCTCCTTTATCTGTGGGAGTTTCTCTTTGGCAAGATATTGATTTATGTTATCAATTGAAATTTCCTCCTCACTATATAACGTCTCATAGTATTGTCTGACAAACTCGAGTTTTTCCTCCTCATCCTCTAATATTTTGCCTTCCGAATTCTCCAAGCAATCTATAACCCCCTTCTCTTTCTCTTTTTTTAATTTATACGATAGCCATCTCCCGGGCTTGTTTGCATTGTCAAAATAGTATTGTTTGGATTGTTTGATTTTTTTTTGCCAGTTCTTCCTGTTCTGATAGATTTAATTTATGCCTTGCTGTCATCCATTGCTCTTTTTTTGCGGTATCACTCGGGTCTCGTTGTAATCTCTTTTCTGCTTCTTCCAGTTGGGTTAACAAATTCTTCTGAATCTTTCTTTTTTCTTTATTGTTATATATGCTATGTGATATTACTAACCCTCTTAAGTAGGCTTTCATTGTATCCCAAACACATGTTAAGGGAGTTTCCTGATTTTCATTCTCCTCAAAGAAAAGTTGTAGATCTCTCTGGAGCTTCTTAGTAAATCCTACATCTCTGAGGATATGGGTATTTAATCTCCATCTCCTTCGTTTAATCCTGTTTGGGCTTTTCCACTTTATCTCTAATGGGTTGTGATCGGCCCAAACATTCGGGGCGATTTCAACCGAATGGATTTCTAACCCCAGACTTCTACTGACCCAAACCATGTCAATCCTAGACCAGGACATCTGGGGGTTTGAATAATAGGTGAATTGCTTATCGTTCGGATATAATACTCGCCAGACATCTGCTAAATTGTGCTCATCAACCAAATCAAAAAAAGTTTTGGGGAGCCTTTCCCTTTTGGTCTTTTTCTCTATTCCACTCTTGTAATCCAGATCCGGGTTTACTACCCCGTTGAAGTCCCCAATAATACAAATATTTGTATATTCCAATTCATCTATTTTATGGCTTAATTTCCTATAAAATTCTCCTAGATTTCTATTTGGAGCATAAATGGCTACTACTAAAATTGGGATACTACCCCTCTTGATTTCAATTGCCAGTAGTCTCCCTTTATCATCTGAATATTTAAGTTCAGTGGCAATTCCTTTTTTTACATATAGTGCTCCCCCCCCCCCCTTTTTTTTTTTCTCTGCTAGAGAGGTAAAGGTTTTACCAAATTTTGCAAATTCCAAATATTTCCTCTCTTCTCTCTTTATATGGACTTCTTGGAGGCAGATTATTTCCGGATTAAATTTAATTAATTTTGAGAATATATGTTTTCTCTTCCCTCCGTTGTTTAGACCGTTAACGTTAACAGACAGCAATTTTCAACCCTCCATTGTCCGACTAACTACCTAGTTTTTGTTTGTCCGACTAACTACCTAGTTTTTGTTTGTCCTTATGGCTCTTTGTGGTCTTTGTCTCTTTCCTTTAGTTTCTTTAACTTCCTTCTCTCCTAACTCTGTGTCCCTCCTGGTTGGTACTGGCTTCCCGGGAGGTTACACGAGGCTGGCTCCAGGGCGTTATTAATGCTTCGTTGAGTGAGGGTCACTTCCCCGCTGCCCTCAAAGAGGCGGTGGTGAGGCCTCTCCTCAAGCCGTCCCTGGATCCGGCAATATTGGCTAACGTCCTGTCTCCAACCTTTGCTTTATTGCGAAGGTTGTTGAGAGTGTGGTCGCGTGACAGTTTCCACAATTCCTGGAGGAAACATCTTATCTAGATCAGTTCCAGTCGGGTTTCAGGTCTGGGCACAGCATGGAAACGGCATTGGTCGTGTTGGTTGATGATCTCTGGAGGGCTCGGGACAGGGGTTGTTCCTCTGTTCTGGTCCTGTTAGATCTCTCAGCGGCTTTTGATACCATCGACCATGGTATCATGCTGCACCGGCTGGAAGAGTTGGGGGTGGGAGGCACTGTGTGGTGGTTCTCCTCCTTTCTCTCCGACCGGTCGCAGTTTGTGTTGGCAGGGGGGCAGAGGTCGACCTCGAGGCCTCTCATCTGTGGAGTGCCGCAGGGATCGGTCCTCTCGCCCCTTCTGTTCAACATTTATGTGAAGCCGCTGGGCGAGATCATCCGTGGCTTTGGGGTGAGATACCACCAGTATGCTGATGACACCCAGCTGTACATCTCCACCCCAGGCCACCCCAACGATGACCTTGAAGTGATGTCCCAGTGCCTGGAGGCTGTGCGGATCTGGATGGGGAGGAACAGGCTCAAGCTCAACCCTTGCAAGACTGAGTGGCTGTGGCTTCCGGCATCCCGATATAGTCAGTTGACTCCATCACTGACTATTGGGGGCGAGTCTTTGGCCCCCACTGAAAGGGCTCGCAATCTGGGAGTCTTCCTGGATAGGCAGCTGTCTTTGGAGGAACATCTGACGGCTGTTACCAGGGGGACCTTCTGTCAGGTTCGCCTGATTCGCCAGTTGCGGCCCTTTCTCCATCGGGATTCCTTGTGCACAGTCACTCACGCCCTCGTCACCTCTCGCCTTGACTACTGCAATGCTCTCTACATGGGGCTCCCCTTGAAGAGCACCCGAAGGCTCCAGCTGGTCCAGAACGCAGCAGCGCAGGTAGTGATGGGAGCAACATGGCACTCCCATGTAACACCGCTCCTGCGCGAGCTGCACTGGCTCCCGGTGGTCTTCCGGGTGCACTTCAAGGTGTTGGTTATCACCTTTAAAGCGCTCCATGGCATCGGGCCTAGCTATCTGCGAGACCGCCTGCTGCTACCGACGACCTCCCATCGACCCGTGCGCTCCCACAGAGAGGGCCTCCTCAGGGTGCCATCAGCCAAACAATGTAGGCTGGTGACCCCCAGGGGGAGGGCCTTCTCTGTGGGGGCTCCTACCCTCTGGAATCAGTTGCCCCCTGAGATAAGGAGAATGCATGACCTCAATGCCTTCCGTCGTGCCCTTAAAACCCATCTTTTCCAGCAAGCCGGGCTGGCTTAAGAAGAAATTTTTAAATTCTTTTAATCAGTTTGTGACTTCTTAACTTTCGGGCCAAATTTATATATATATTTAACTGTTTTTAATATTTGTATTCTATGTTCCTATCTTGGCTGTACACCATCCTGAGTCCTCAGGGAGAAGGGCAGTATATAAATTGGAAATTAAATTAAATTAAATTGGAAATTAAATTTTCCTCTGGTGTTCCTCCTTTGGTTTTTTTTAACTGTGCGTTAATTTCTTCCTGGGAGGCTATATCCAGTTCCTCCTTACTACTTTGGTCTTCTTCCGCACCTCTCAGCTGATCCAAAAGTTCTTGTGTGGAGATGAGACTGTCAATCTTAATTCTAACCCTAACCCTAACCCTTGCCAAGTAATGAGCATTCCCTCTGGTAAAATCCATCTAAAGGGAATACTTCTCTTGTTTAGTTGTATCGCCAAGAACCTGTAGTCCCTTCTCAAATCTCGAACCCTCTTGGGAACTTGCTTCAGTACTATTACCTCTTTGCCTTTGAAGCTTACAGGTTCATCTCTTACTATGTTGTATAGCATATCTTTCACTTTCCTTCGAGCGAATCTGACATGGACTTCACGAGGGAGCTTGTTCCTCCTAGCGTAGTTGGTTTGCATCCTGTAAATTTCATCCAGCTCTTTTATAATATCATCTTTATCTTGTTGTAGTATTCCAGCTATTAAATCCACCATAACATTTCCCAGTGACTCTGTCACTAAGGAATGCAGGCATAAACCATTTATTTATTTATTTTATTTTATTTTATTTTATTTCTATACCGCCCTTCTCCAACAGGACTCAGGGCGGTGAACAGCCGAGATAAAACATAACATATAAAATTTAAAAAAGAGTTTAAAAGACATTAAATAATTTTGGCCCTGATGTAACATGACCACACCGACTTACAACAGCAGTTACAGCAGTCCTAAGTGCTTTCATTAAACAAATCCCAAACAGTTGCAGTTTGTGCTCACATGATTGTCATTTGCAACCTTCTGCCAGCTTCCTCATTAACTTTGCAGTGAAGGTCACAAATTGCAATTTCATGACCCTGGGATACTGCAACATCATAATCATGAAGTGGTTGCAAAGTTCCCAAAACATGATCCTATGAATGCTGTGACAGCCTCAAATATTTTATTTATTTATTTTATTTTGATATGAAATATGAGGTCCCATCATAAGTCTCCCTCATTCAGTGCCATTGTAACTTTGAATACTTGATGACTGAGTGGTCAGTCAATGAGGACTACCTGTACTGAGTAGAAATTTTGTTTCAAAAATTCATCAAAATTTAATGCCTTCTTTATTTCTGCTGCAGCTTGTGATAAGAGTCCACATGTCCGATGACAGCTCGAAGACAATGATGGTAGATGAACGACAGACAGTAAGACAAGTGTTAGACAACTTGATGGACAAGTCACATTGTGGATTTAGCTTAGATTGGTCCTTGGTAGAAACAATCTCTGAATTACAAATGGGTTAGTAGTTCAGATTTATTGTCAGTACCAAATTGTTATGGAAACTTTATAATGTTTTTTTTTTTTATTTGATTTATATGCCGCCCTTCTCCGGAGACACAGAGCGGCTTACAATGCGTTAAGCAATAGCCTTCATACTTTTGTATATTTATACAAAGTCAGCTTATTGCCCCCACAAACTGGGTCCTCAATTAGAAAGGATGGAAGGCTGAGTCAACCTTGAGCCTGGGGAGATTCGAACTTGCAGTAATTGCAGGCAGCTGAATGTTAATAACAGGCTATTAGTCTGCTGCACCACCAGGCTCTTTTTGTATGTATGATCTTGTTTCATGGTTCGCTCTTATTACTGAGTTGATATGCTACATTTAAAAAGTTGCTTATTTTGTCTACCAATGGGGTGGGGCGAAACTTTGTTCTTCATTAGATTTTAGGGTAGCGTATGCGTATACAGTATGTGTATGTGCCTGTGTGCCAGTGGTGGGTTTCAAAAATTTTTACTACCGGTTCTGTGGGCATGGCTTGGTGGGCGTGGCAGGGGAAGGATACTGTAAAATCTCCATTCCCATCCCACTCCAGGGGAAGGTTACTGCAAAATCCCCATTTCCTCCCAATCAGCTGGGACTTGGGAGGCAGAGAATAGATGGGGACGGGGCCAGTCAGAATTTTTACTACTGGTTCTCCGAACTACTCAAAATTTCCACTACCGGTTCTCCAGAACTGGTCAGAACCTGCTGAAACCCACCTCTGCTGTGTGCATCTGCTCTAATCTTTCTTTAGGTAGCTGGCTTGCTTTGAGACAGACTTTTCTTTGCTTGGAACTTTTTGTACAGATCCTTTAATAATTCTAGAAGTTCTGGGTTTTGCTAAAACTTCTATAATGTTTTGGTGTTACTACTTTGATTACCACAAGCTTTCAATGAACCAAATCAGAAATACAATAATAAAATAGTCACGGCTTGGTTTTTCTTGGGAAAGGTATTAAATTGGATACAGATTTATTTACATGCTTCATATACTATACTGCTTTTACCTATACACATTTTTATCCACATTTTTATTTAAAAGTCAACAACATATTTCTTACAAATGGTTGATGTTCTTGCTACTTTAAGCCTGTTAAAAATACCTTTATATGGATAGAGCCTTTGCATTATAGCTTCAGTATATAATTTGTTTTCATCTTTTTGTATACAAAGATTTTTAGTATTCTACTTAAATATTGCAATGAGTTTTAAATAGAAACACATTCCAAATGTGGTGCAATCTGTTGGTTTTGTTATTATTATAGTTGATTTCCTATCATAGAATTAAATTGAACATATTAAAAATACATTATTTCGAATGAGAATAATACGTCTAAGATTCCTTTTTCTGTACTCCTAAATATGAGTAGTTTTTCCCCCTTTTGAAAAATGTTTCTCTATTATTTTCACAATAATGGAGTGAAAATGTATGCCATTGGTACATAATGTACCAATGTATTGATTTTAGATTGCAGGATAAAAGTAAGCAAAATCAGAACCAAAGAGTTGGACTTCATCCATGATTGAAATTGTAGCCTCCTAATTCCATGAAATGAATATAATGAATACACATAGATTCATTTGTATGCAAAATAGGTTTGTAGAATATGTTCTCACTAATAAAAAAGCATATATATTTATTTATGCATTATAGAAATCATGTAATTGGAAAATAGACTTTTACCTGTCTTTGGTAAATATGAAAGATACATGTTCTTCAATTTTACTTTTTTATTAATATGCATTGTCATGTGACATTAGGGAAAGGATTTTAGAGAAAGGACTTTAGACTATAAAATTAGATGACTTGATTTTGAATTTAAAACAGTTGTTATATTTCTGTAATTATGCAGAGAGGATTTTTGAAGACCATGAAAATTTAGTTGAAAACCTCCTGAACTGGACAAGAGATAGTCAAAACAAGCTCATGTTTGTTGAACGTATAGAAAAATATGCCCTTTTTAAAAATCCCCAAGTAAGTATAATGATTTTCCATCAATCTTGTATTATTGTCATAGACCAGAATAAAAATTAAAATACTAAAATAAAACAAAACAAAACAAGACTTAATAGTGTGTTAAAAATAATGGTGAGATCATCAATGGGTGGAAATAAAGCTCTTTTTTCTACTTTTGTTTATTTATTTATTTATTTATTTATTTATTTTTCATATTTATGAAAATGAATATGAACATATTTTGAACATCCATTGTGGCTTAAACATTTTTATGGGTTTTTTTTACATGGTTAACGCACTACGATTTATTAAATATAATTTATTGAAATCATAACTGTGATCTGAAAGGAAGTATTTCTTACATTTATTTTGATGTTTCTATTCTGCTCCTAATAAAATTCTGAGAAACATTAAAAATATATTTGCATTTAAATTTCTGACCAGTTTTTGTATCTGAGAAAAAAACCTACCTTTAGACTTCATATTATTCCCATAAATTTATCTGTTTCCATATAGAAAAGATTTGTTCACAAATAGCACTCTTTGTTAGCATCAGGAAAAGATGAGACTAAGAAAACTATTTCATTTCTATTATTTTACATTCGTCAACTGTAGCTTCTATTTCTCTATTGCAGAATTATCTTCTTGGGAAAAGAGAAACCTCTGAAATGGCAGACAGGAACAAGGAAGTACTACTGGAGGTAAGTTGATTATAGGTTAACTACTTCACCAAGGGCTACAAAAGGGAAGTTTGCTGTATGAATATCTTGAAACAGTCCAGAACTCATCCACAGAATTCAACATTAAAATCTATCTGCCAGGTGAAAAATATAGTATTATAATATTCATGTGCCATAATTGAGATGTTTGGTGAGGAAGTGTCAGTTACTTAGAAATACGACCTAACAGAATCTTGGAATACTGAATACTCTCAGGGTTAGGGAGTTCCCCATCCTCACTCTTAAGAGAAAGAAAAGGAAATACTGAAGAGACAACTAATGCAAAACATTTTCTTGTGAATACATAAAGTTCATTTTTCACAATTCCTTTACCCATATGTTCTAGGAGTGCTTTTGTGGAAGCTCAGTAACAGTGCCAGAAATCGAGGGAGTCCTGTGGCTGAAAGATGATGGTAAAAAATCTTGGAAGAAACGTTACTTTCTTCTGCGAGCTTCTGGAATCTACTATGTTCCAAAAGGAAAAGCAAAGGTGAAATCCCTTTTGAGTCTCATATAGTGCTCATCTTTTCAAATGGGCATGACTGCGACTTTTACTAGACAAAACACACTGTAAAATGCACTTTTATGATTTATTTATGAAGCAGGCATCAAAAATATTACATTGCATTGGGAATGTTCATAGCCAAGCCTTCACTTTCAAATTGACTAGTGGTCTGAAAAAGATTCTGAGTTTGAAACAATGGATTTCAGGATTCCATTGCCAATGTTTCAAAATTTTGTGCCAAGCCTAGATGAAACAAGACTATCCCAGCAATCATAATAGAAGCTATAGGTATATTTAAAAAAATAGAACCCCAAAACTCCATTGGGGTAGTGTACACAATATTGATGATTTCTTTCAAAGCTGGATCTATCAGTTAAAAATTCACCTAATCTTCAGAGGGTATCATTAAATGATGATAGTGATTGGTAATTGCTGTCAGAGGGATACATCATTTGTGTATGCAGTGAAACCTTTATTAAACAGACTCTGTTTAGGAGACTTCAGATGCATCTGACCAAATTTCTGCCCAGACTTCGTCCCAAAATAATGGTCTTGTACCCAAAATATAGTAATACAAACAAGGCATTTAAAGTTATATTAATGATATATTATGTATATGTAATGATACTGTGATGCAGATCTCTGAAGAGGATTGTGATTTGTATCATTTGCATAATGGTGTACTACAGAAATAACATAAAAGTTTGCAAATGATGTAATATGCAGTTCAATGGACATTTGGGAATAATGGACGAGCCATCCCCTTCATCCATATTTTGGAACAAGAGATTGAAGTAGTGGTTAAGATGTTGGACTGGCACTGGGAAGAGTTAAGTTTTGCTCCACCATCAATCAAAAGCTCATTGGACTGGTGTTTGCACCAGCATTCACTCTTGGCCCAACCTGCTTCACAGGGATGTGCTGGAGAAAAAGAAAGCAATGTTTTATACACTCTTAAACAAAAAGACAAAATATAAATTTCATCAATAAACAGATACAAATAATATTTCTGTTATATAAAGGTTGCACTATTCATTTAGTTGCGCATGTACAGTACTGTGCAAAAGTGGTGTAAATTAAGAATGCTTTCAGAAATAGTGTTAATAGTTTATTTTTATCAATTAACAAAATGGAAAGTAAATGAACAGAAGAGAAATCCAAATCAAATCAATATTTGGTGTGCCCAACCAAATGTATTGTACTTTTGTATAGTACTGTATATAGAAAGTAGCCTTGACAGAATTGTGTTAATGTGATTTGTATCTCTTTGTCCATGACCAAGTATGTCGTTATTGATAGGTCTCACGAGATCTTGTGTGCTTTCTTCAATTGGATCATGTTAATGTTTACTATGGACAAGATTATCGCAACAAATACAAAGCTCCTACAGACTATTGTCTGGTACTAAAGGTAATTATTGACTTAATACTTCTGATGTGACAAATGAATAAACATCGAAGAAAATTGTCCATAATTTGCCATGAATTTCATGACATGGCTGCTATATCATCCTGTGCTGTCTTGTTTAAGAGGTTTTAATGTTCCTTTAAAACTAATCCAAGTACAGGTTCTATTTCCCTATTTTTTAAAAAATCACATCTTCATTTTATTTAGAAGATTTATTCTAATCTTTTTATGAAAACATAACATACAGACAATAGTATTAATTTTGAATATGCTTCAACTGGTCTCCATTATGGTTAATTTTAATTCTGTAATTATTTATTTTTAATCCGATCAAAATAGATTAAATATTTCTCTTTCAGCATCCCCAAATTCAGAAGAAATCTCAATATATTAAGTATTTATGTTGTGATGATATCAGAACTCTTCATCAGTGGATAAATGGCATCCGTATTGCTAAGGTATTCTTTCTGTCCATGTTTTTCTTTAGCATTAATTCTATATTAGAATAACTTAATTTTATCCACTGCAATTTTGGGAAACACTTGAACCGAGGTGGCGCAGAGGTTAGAGTGCAGTACTGCAGCTACTTCAGCTGACTGCTAGTTCAGCAGATCAGCGGATCAAATCTCACCGGCTCATGGTTGACTCAGCCTTCCATCCTTTCGAGGTGGGTAAAATGAGGACCCAGATTGTTGGGGGCAATATGCTATTTAGTATACTGTCTTTGGTGTAAGCCGCCCAGAGTCCTCGGAGAGTGGGCGGCATAGAAATGTGAATAATAAAATAATAATAATAAAAATAAAAACCGAATTTGTTATCTTCTCCTACTTTAATTATTGCCCTGTTCTGCCACTCTTAATAAAAACTGATTAATACTAATTAAATCAAGCCGATATCATGACAGATGTACTCTGGATGGCAGTGAGCATCAATTTACAAACGTTCTCATCTATGATCCTTAGCAAGGCAATGTGCAATAAAAAGAATACGGAGTGTAAAACAAAATGAAATGAATACAATAAAAATAAAAATTGACAATAGATGTTTTACCAGCAAATGACTTGAACATAAAAAAAGAGCCCAGAAAATTTCAATTAGCTAATCTATCATTGACCTCTAGACTACCTTGATTGCCCTGATGTCTGGGAGGGAAGAAGGCCATCAGCACCCATCACTTTCCTGTAGCAGCCAGGCTGCAGCTCCCAGTATCTCTCTCCCTGCCCTTTGATGCTAAAAGCATCTCCCATCTACCCCTAACATCCCAAGGGACACGAAAGAGAGAACTTAAAGTAGTAACTGTAACTTTACAATTAATGCATTTTCTGAAGAATGAATGATAATTTATCATGATTGTGGAGTGTATTTGTGAGCAAAATCTGAAACACGATCCCATTACCCATATACTTTTACTTCTTTAAATTGCTATTTTTCTTAACAGTGCCATTGTAAAATTAGGGAAGACTGTTTGGCTCAGCTTATATGTAGGGAAAATGACTTGAAGGTAGTGCCAGCATCTTCTAGAAACAAAGGGGGGGGGAAACTTCCTGTTGCAAATTTGAGGCAATTTCCTCACCCCTTCATACTGAAACTAAGGGCAACATATCTGGCTATTTTCTAAGTATACCAATCTCTTTCAGATGAAGAGGGTTGCTCAGGTTGCCTTCTGCTTGTGCAACCAATGGGTGGAACCCCTTTATTTGTTCCCAAATACATTCAGGTTTTAACATTTTTATTTTATTGTTTCTTAGTGAAGCTAATCAGTTCAACATTTTTGGCATATCAAAGTTAAAAAGAAACATTCCAATAGTTGCTTTCATAAAATTAGAGTGTGCAGTGGGATTGTCTTGGGTTTGAATCATACAGCTGGAAATGGTATAACAAGCAGCATTCATATTTTGTATTTTGTACAGTATGGAAAGCAATTATATATAAACTATCAAGAAGCTCTGAAAAGGACAGAATCAGCATATGACTGGACATCCCTGTCCAGTTCCAGTATTAAGTCTGGATCCAGCTCATCTAGTTTACCAGGTAACCTCCAATAGACCAATTAATGCAAATAGCTGTATAATGAATATGTATTGCTTCAGTGACTAATGAAAATATTTGTATTTCTCTTTCTCTACCTCATCCCCTTTGGTATCAAAATTATGCCTGGAGACTAATGTGGAAGAAAAATATGCAATCTGCATTTTAAAAGCAGTGAATAGGAGTAGTCCATGTGGACTTTTTAAGAAAATATCTTCTTAAAATATAGATAGTCCTTGTCTTACAACAGTTCATTCAGTGATCATTCAGAGTTATAAGAGCACCGAAAAAAGTGACTTATGACCATTTTTTACAGTTAGGACCATTACAGCATCCCTATGGGTTACATGATCAAAGTTCAGGTGTTTAGCAACTGACTCATATTTATGACGGTTGCAGTGTCCCGGAGTCATGTGATCACTTTCTGACAAGCAAAGTCAATGGGGTAGCCAGATTCACTTAACAGCTGTGTTACTAATTTAACACTTGCAGTGATTCACTTAACAACTGTGGCAAGAAAGGTCGTAAAATGGAGAAAAACTCAATTTACAGCAGAAATTTTGGGCTCAATTGTGGTCATAAATCGAGGACTACCTGTAATCTTAATTTAGTTTTTTATCAGTTAATTGCCTTAGCACATTTTGAAAATGCTGTAAATGTAAAACATCTTGACTGCAGAAAGATATTTGTCAATTGACTTGGAAACCCACTGAAATAAAGAGAAACAACCCACCAGTTGCTCCTCCTCAAAGTTCTTACTAGATTTGCCAGTGATACTCTCTAGAAGCCAGGCTTGAAATTAGCTTTATAGGTGAGAGGAAGGGTTAAAAATACAGAATGAATTTAATAGACACAATAAATTTATTTACAGTCCCAGACCAAACACAAAGAAAGACCAGCATATAATATAGTAAGTATAAAAAAGAAATTTTAAAATATGAGAAAATCCTAAAGCATGTAGCATCTAACAATACCACAAGGGAGGATTTAGATGATTTCTATCAGCTAGAGCTATTAATTTTTAAAAATGCTTTCTGAGGTTTCTGAAGAATGATTACCTATAGGAAAGGTAACAATCTCATGATTGCAATAGCAAAGTTATTGACAATTGGAAGTATCAAACTTGATTGTCTTTGGGTGATCAATGGACATTTTGATAGCACATGTGAAATAGATCCTATTTCAGAACAGAAATAGAAACAAATACAGCTTTCATATTAGATTAGATTAGATTTAGATTTATTGAATTTATATACCGCCCTACTCCCGAAGGACTCAGGGCGGTGAACAGCCAAAAGATAAAATACATGTAATACAAATGTTAAAAAAACCATTAAAATAGAATTAAATAATTTGGCCCAGAAAATAAAATTTAAAAACCCCAATTTTGTATGACAAATTTAAAATTTAAAAAATTTAAGAAACAGTTTAAAAGAGGTTAAGCCAGGCCGGCCTGCTGAAATAGGAATGTTTTGAGGGCACGGCGGAAAGCATGTAGATCAGTGATCCTCCGTATCTCCGGGGGGAGCTCGTTCCAGATGGCAGGTGCTCCCACAGAGAAGGCTCTCCCATTGGGGGCCGCCAGTCGACACTGTTTGGCCAACGGCACCCTAAGAAGCCCCTCTCTATGGGAGCGTACTGGTCGGTGAGAGGTTACTGGTGGCAGAAGGCGGTCTTGTAAATACCCCGGTCCTAGGCCATGGAGCGCTCTAAAGGTGGTAACCAAAACCTTGAAGCGCACCCGGAAGACCATCGGGAGCCAGTGCAGCTTGCGCAGGAGGGGGGTCACATGGGAGCACCACGTCGCTCCCATAACCACCCACGCGGCCGCATTCTGGACCAGCTGGAGCCTCCGGGTGCTCCTCAAGGGGAGCCCCATGTAGAGAGCATTGCAGTAGTCCAGGCGGGAAGTGACAAGGGCATGAGTATTTAATTTAATACTTAATGAGTCCCGATCCAGAAAGGGACACAACTGGCGAATCAGGTGTACCTGATAAAAAAAATCTGATATGGGAAGCTTATGTATGTTATAAATACCATATAGCATGAAATCCAAAACTTTTTGTCTTTAAATGATTTAATAATACTTGGGACAGAATTGTTACCAAATTGTCCTGTAAAGTTAGCAATAGGAAGGGAAGCTTAGTAGAGGAAGATGTAGAAGTCTTCGCCAAAGAAAAAGTCAGTTGCTCAGATATAGAATGAGAATTTTATGGTTTGATGATGATACATGGGAAAAGGTCTTGGCATTTTAGATTAGATTAGATTAGATTAGATTAGATTAGATTAGATTAGATTAGATTAGATTAGATTAGATTAGATTAGATTAGATTAGATAGAGTTGGAAGGTACCTTGTAGGTCATCTAATCCAACCCCCGCCCAAGCAGGAGACCCTACACCATTTCCGACAAATGGCAGTCCAATCTCTTCTTGAAAGGTTCCAGTGATGAAGTTCCCACAACTTCCGAAGGCAAGCTGTTCCATTGGTTGATTGTTCTCACTGTCAGAAAATTTCTCCTGTAGTTGGCCCCAACCTTTTTAGAATGTCTGCTTAAAAGCAGATATAGTTTAAAGCTGCTTGAATTGAAGTATTCAAGTAATGGCTATTCCACTAAGCTCTGCTTTGACTAGACCCCAATTTAGTTTCTTTGTGAGATTCTTTGTAACAAACTTTCATACTAGGAGAAAGGAAAACTGTTTCAAAGAAGGACAATGAGGGTAGTGAATGGAATAGAAACTAAGTCTTATGAAGATAAACCAAGAAAATAGAAAATTACAGCATTTTTCAAGAAACAGGAAGTATGCCATATGGAAGAAGATCAAGATGTGTTCACCATCAACCCAGAATTCAGGGCACCAATTAATTACCTTACAGAAAATCAGATTCTGGTTCATTATTTGGGGGCAGAGGGGGTGTCAAAAAAATGTTTTCAAAGTGGAAACAAAGGAAGAAATGAGTTCCCGATAATGGATGAGTTCAAACAAAAACTACAGCAATTTCAATTAGGAGTATTTTAATTTAGAATTCTTCATTGAGCTTGATGGCTTAAATGATAGCTTTTAAATTGGTGATTAAGTGAAAAGAATCTGTACATTGAGAGTATGTTTAGATTTGGCTTTTGCTTTGTCTTGCTCTTGCACACACACACACAAATTTAGTAAGGTTTTATTATATACCATCCAGTTCACCATGCTAATGTAGTGTGATATACTCCATCTAAGCCAATGTACTTGTGAATTTTTTTTTAACAAGGACAAAAATTGCAAATATTTTTCAATATTTCTTTTGACAGAATCTCAGTCCAACCACTCAAATCAATCTGACAGTGGAGTTTCAGACACTCAAACAGGACATGTCCGTTCCCAAAGTATTGTTAGCTCCATCTTTTCAGAAGCTTGGAAGAGGGGAACTCAGTTGGAAGAGTCTAGCAAGATTAATGTAAGTATAATCATTGTTGCAAGGGAATGTCCCCATTACAAAATCTGGACTTATTTGAAGGTCCTGTTTTTTGTTTTGTTTTTTAATGCAAAATGCCAAAGTGTAAAGTGTAAACCAACAAAGCCTCCTGACTTCTGAAAATGGGTCATGGTGGGGAAAAGTTGCTTGAAGTCCCCCATTGGTTTCCCTGTCCCCTGATCCCCCGTGTTTCATGCTATGTTTTTGTTCTTGTTTTTCCTGTTGCCCTGCAGTCTCATGTGGCAAAAGCAAAACCTGGAACAGCTCTGAGCTCCACTGCAGTGATGGCTTAAGCAGGGGTAGAGTTAAGGTCAGGGGCTTTGTTTGAACTATTAACCTGGGGGAATGATGCAACCCAAATCATGCAAACTAACATTTCCCAAGTTCTAATCTTTAGATTTGTTGATCAGTTCACAAGTGCTTGAACCTGTCCTAGTATAATTTGACCCTATCATGCCACCCACATTAATCTGTGTAGTTCTGGTTTAGCCTGGGTTACTGAGAAACATTGCCCAGAATGGAAGATCTCCAGTATGCTATTGCTTGCCAAACTTCAGATCCTTTTTTGCTATGGAATTCTTGGCTTTATAATATTTAACTGAAAGCATTGCATAATCAGGAGGGCAAGGCATTCTTTAATGTGGATTTGCTTATTTCGGTTCCATACATTAATACAAACATGCTACAAAGTAAATTACCTTAACACCTTGACCAGAACGCATCAATACCTTCTGTTCCGTTTCTCTCCTTGACTACTTGCTTCCTCCCACAAAATATTTGTGCATGCCTTTCCTTATGCTATCATATGGAGGTTTTGATAGTTTTCACTCTGCGCTCACTCTATTGATCATAATTGCTTGTTCACATATATTTTCAGCTTTTCGGCGTATTTTTTTCCTAGAATTGTGAAGGAATTGCACTTTGAAATATCTCAAAGGGAGATTTTTTGCAATGTCCACATTCCTTAGTGGAATTGCGATCCCACACGAGCTGCTGCGTAGTTTTTTTTCTTGTGTTAGATAAATGCCACTTTTTTTCAGTATTTCATAGTTCAGCTTAATTAGATATATTGAGCACACAGGATCATAATTGCCAGTATAAATGATATTTGCATGAATTTGTTTTTTGAACATTTCGCTTTCATTTCTCCTTTAGGCTCGAATGGACTCAATAAACCGGCCTTTCACTTCACTTGTATCGCCTTTATCTCCACAAACTAAAACAGCTACTCCATATTCAGCATCACAACCATCACCTCCCCTTCCACCTCCTCCACCTCCCCCACCTCCACCCCCGCCTCCTCCACCCCCACCTCCTCCCCCTCTTCCTGGTCAGTCTGTGCCATCTGGAACCAGCTCAGCAACAGTGTTTGTGAAATATAGCACTATAACAAGACTACAGAATGCCTCTCAGCATGGTGGGCTTCTCTACAAATCACCTATCACAATACAGCAGCCACCATCCCCCCTCCCGCCTCCAGGAAAACCTCAGATTTTAGTACCTCCAAATGGTATAGTCCCACCCCCTCCTCCTCCTCCTCCTCCCCCTACCCCAGGATCAGCAATGGCACAGCTCATGAAACCTGTGTCTTCCCACCCATCGGTACCATTATTCACACCGCCACCTCCTCCTGCTCCCCCTCTCAAAATTCATCAAGTTCACCAGAACATTGTTCAGTCTGCAACTTTGCCACCTCCGCCACCTTCAGGGCCAGCACCTCCACCTCCACAAGCTCCTCCTAAGCCTACTATGACTCTCCCTACACAAAACACTGCAAAATCTATCTCAGCAGTTGTAACACATCCAGTGCCGCCACTTCCTGTTCCTTCAGCAGTAAAGAAGCAGCCAAGTTTCACCACCCCACAAATTCCATTATCTCCTGCTTCACTAGGTCCATCTCCTCCACCTACTCTGCCCAAACAGCAGAATCACTCTAATAAGCTTCCTCCCTCTCCACAGTCTCCTGTGCCATCCGTTGTGAAGCAAATAGCCAGCCAGTTTCCCCCTCCTCCCATGCCAGCTTCAGAGCCCCAGCCTTTAAAACCTGCCCCTCTGAGTGTACCACCTCAGTCTCCTCCAGCTGTAAAAGCCAAGCCAAAATGGCAGCCAACCTCTGCTCCGTCCCCTGATTTTCCTCCTCCACCCCCGGAAAGTAGCCTAGCATTTCCTCCTCCACCTTCTCCTTCTTCTTCTCCATTAATAGTATCCCCTACACCAGATAAGTCAGGAGGTTCTCCAGTCAAAAAAGGTAGTAAGACTTCCAGTCCAGGAGGAAAAAAGCCGCCTCCTACACCTCAGCGCAATTCCAGTATAAAATCAAACAGTTCAATTGAGTCCAGTGAACCTAAGAGACCTTCAGTGGATGTCTTAGTTAGCAAATTTGCACATCCCCCGGAGCCCTCCGGATCTCCTGGCAAGGAATCCCCAACTCCACCTGCAGCTCCTCCAAAGCCAGGAAAGCTTTGCCTGCCTATCGTTCTTCAGCAGGCAGGTATTTCAACAAAAGCACCTGCCACAGGAGCACTAGGCAAGGGTGCTGCCGAGGAATTTCCTTCTCCTCCATCAGATTCAGACTTTCCCCCTCCACCACCTGAAATTGATCTTCCTTTACCTCCTGTAGAAATTCCTGCTGTCTTTTCAGGCAATACCTCGCCAAAGGTTGCTGTCGTCAATCCCCAACCTCAGCCATGGTCTAAGTCATCTGGGAAGAAAGCTCCCCCTCCAACACGTCCCAAACGCAACGACAGCACCCGTCTCACGCAAGCAGAAATGGCGGAGTCACAGGTTGTTGTCAGTGCACAAGTGCCCACCTCGCCCAAATCCGGCCTTAGCGTTCAGCCTGGTTTTCTGGCTGATTTGAATAGGACTCTGCAGCGTAAATCCATCACTCGACATAGCTCCCTCTCCTCTGCCCGGATATCCCGAGCTGAGCCAACTGCTACAATGGATGACATGGCCTTGCCCCCACCCCCACCAGAACTTCTGACAGACAAGCAGAAGACCAGCAACTTTGGGGGTAGTCATATATTAGGCTATGCAACCTTACGGAGGGGCCCACCTCCAGCACCTCCAAAGAGGGATCAAAACACCAAACTGTCTAGGGACTGGTGATGTTTAGGAGACCCTCTTTGCATTGCCAGCAAACCCTAACCGGGACACATCTGGTACTGAGATGCCTCATCTTAATAGCCGTGAACTGAAGTCTGTTTTAACAGTAGCTGTGGGTAGTGACCACATTCACTTCCAGAAAGAGTCCCTGAAGCTTTGCCTATTTGTGTTCTGTGTATTGGGGTGAAGGATGGGATGAGTACTACTTCAAAGTTCAAATACTACATAAGGATTGGACCAAAATCTTTAACACTATTTTTCCTGCTGTTCAGGAAATAACTGTTGTCTGTCAGTGTGGGACATGTGGGTGCATGTATTATAAATGTAGGTATATAATATATTGTGAAATATTTTGTTGGAATTGTAGAGGCTCACCAGAATGTTTTTGTACATCTGTATTTATTGTTTCAGTCAACTGAGATTTTTATCAGAAATTGGATGATGTATTAGAAAAGTCATTTGCTTTTGAAAACAAAATTGTTGGGGCACCTTAGATCATTGGAAACCTCTTTGGGCAGTTGGTGACGGGTATGCAGGGCTGCCAAATTCTGTCAGTCTCTGCGCAGAATCAATTGATTGAAAAAATTAGACAGTCTACCAAAACATTCTGGTTGTAATACTACTGAATAGAGAAATCCATATAGAGAAAAAGAAAAATGCTGTACGGTGGGACTGCAGTTTAAGATGTTGGGTAATAAAGGCATTCTGTTCTAGAATTCTTTCAGAGGGAAAAGCCCCTTAAAATATATCAGAACTTTCTCCCAAATAAACACTGGTAGGATTGGGCTTAAACTTAATGTTCTAGTCACATGTTCTAAAGAGGAATGTGTAAGGAATTGAACATATCAGAATGTTGTGCATTGGAAACCGGATCATCATTCCCCAAACCCTCAATGGGATTATTTGGACTGGTGATGCTCGATTTAAATTAACATTTATTTCACTGTCACATATATGTCTGTTTTGGTTAAGTGAAAATGGTGTACCAGAAGGCACTCGAAATATGCTGCTGTCATGTCTGATCACCATTTCTCTTTAACTGGTGCTGCTCATCAAATTGCCTGTGTACAAGTTTACATATAGCGGGTGCATCTCTCTCTCTCTCTTTCTCTCTCTCTCTCTCTCTCCCTCTCTCTCGCTCTCTCTTCCCCCCCCCTCTCTCTTCAGAATAAAACTTAATCAAACATACAAATATTACAAACTCTTAAAAGGAAAATCCTTTATGAACATTCAAAACCAGTAAATAGTGAGGATGCAATAGCTTGCCTTAAAAGAACATGGCAGATGAACACCATGGAGTAACACAGCTTAAATCAAAAGTATCAGAGGAAACAACTATAAAATTGTGTTGAAAGGACAGGAGTGATGTGCATTTTGGTATAAAAACTAAATAAGAAAAGCATTGGTTTCAGCCATCTCACAATTTTTAGCCTTTGAAATAGCTCTTCTTCCACTAAGGTTTGTGGGTAAGTCAAATGCTAATTACAGGACCACTGTTTTAACCAGAAATATCCTAGGATGTATAAAACAACTTAAAATAACTACTGTGCATGTGCTGTGCAATACAGGAGATTGTAAAAATGTGTTTTTAAATTAGCAGTTGTAACTGATAGTTCATGAAGACATCAGCACTGGTTTAAAAGAAGAGCCAGAGTTACTAGTTTGGATTAGAGTTTGAACCCTCAAAGGTTAGCACAGTCTCATCCAGGTATGGATGTAGTAACCAGAAGTTACTTCTGAAGATTAGACATTTAGAATGACTATAAAACACACACACACACACACACACACCTGGACTTCTGTTAGAATTATTAAAAAATTCATTACAGAGTATTTGTTCTAGAAAGAAGTAAGAAAATGTGACTTTTTTTCCTTTGTAGAACTTGATTTCAAAAATAACCCTTAACAACAGAAAAGTGGTGCTATGTCATCGGATGCTGAAATCATAGTGGATGATTTGCTCTGCCCCAGATGTATCCTGGGCATATTTTTCCTATTTGACAATATTTTACCTGAGCAATAATAATATACCATTTTGTGCATTTTTAAAGTACTGCTATTAGAAGGCACTTTTTTTGTATCTTTCAAAGTGTTTGGGATTACAAAGTGTCCTTAGCTATTAACCACTTTTGCATTAGTGTACTTTAACACATATTTGGTTTATGTCTTATGATATGGTCTTTATTTTTTTAATTTTGCTTTGAGAATGCATTGGTGCTCTGCCTTTTTATTCCTGTTGGTTGCTGCTGCTGCCGCTGCCACTTGTTGGCTCTGGGAGAGAAGGTCTCATTTTGTGGATATGAAACAGAGAATTTCTGTGGGGCAGTTGGTTTACCTCATTCCTTTGAACCTTCATGTTCCTTTGAAGACAGGCAGTGTTGAAGTACTGCCTGAATTCACTAATTGTAACAAAATACTGTCATATGCAAAAAATAAGCAGTACCCACCTATGACAAAGAAAATTGTACTAGTTAAATATCTGAGGCATTCAAATTATGTGCTAAGGAAGGTTTTTGATACAGAATTTGACCTGGGCAGTGGCAGCAGGAGGAGGAGCACAGGGATGCCTTTTCCCAGACTTTCAGTCTTTTAAAAAAAATATTAATATAGAACTTTCTTTCCTGGTTGTTCCCATTTTGCAGGTAGGTTTCTACACTTTATTTCTCTAAGGAGGTATGTATTTATTACCAACATAATGAAGTCTCATTACCTACTTTCTTTGTCCCCTCTGGCTTTAGTACATCACTGTTTCTGCCCTTGCTGCTCTTCCTTTTTCAACCCTTCTCAAGGGCCTTTGGTTAAGTATCAGAAATGATAAAGCATCACAGAGCAGTGTCAATTTGATTGGTTTGAACCAAATAGGTCGGCTGTATTTTCCACTAGAATCATTGCCCTGAGCCTAATGTAATTCCTTTCCAAAGGCCTCAGTTCTGTATCAGATTGTTCAAGCATATTTTCTTTTTGAATTAGGACTTTAAATACGTTTAATGTCTTTAGCTCAGGGCTAGTTTTCTTCAAGTTTTTCCCCAAAAGGCTCTAATCTGGGAGATTATGGTATATCAACTTTGAAACTGAGAAATCAAAAAGCGCAAGTATATTTAAACCAGAGATGGTTAAATGCCTAAATATCATGAAGAGAATGTCTGAATTATGGCTCAATTCAGCTTTTGATGAATAAACATCTCATTTCCACTGGCATTTATTTTTTTGGTTCATACATTGATCAGTAAAATATAAATTTGAACAGCTTTTTAGCCTTAAATACTTAATTCTTAAAAGATATAAATTGGGTTTTAGATTTTAAAAAAAAAACAGGGTTAGAACCAAAAGCAAATTTTTTCTTAGAATTATTCTGCAAGCAGGTATGTCTAACATACATAGGTACTGTCTAATAGGATGAAATGATTCTTCACAATATTTTTAAGTGACTTCTATATGCCCTCTAAACCTATTAATAAGTTATTCTTTTGAATAATTTCTGAAAATATATAAAAGCTTAAAATATTTTTAAAATATGATGAAACTCTATCTTTATTGAGAGGAATGTGTTAAGACCAAAGGGAATTTCCATCAGTCCCTATGGCTGCCCACAGTTGGGCTGAGGTCCCTGGGCAGGAAAATTGTGCATCACAATTATCTCCTACTATTAACTATTTCTATGTGTGCTGCATATGTTATACATGTATACCTCTAACCTTACATGAATGGATGGTTGGTCCTATGATACATTATAGCTGAACCGATTCTCATCTAAAACTATAGCTCTCATTTTGTTAAAGCATAAAATGCTTGCCATTTGTGGTTATGGAACTTATCATTAGATAGCAAACTATTTCAATCAAATCAGTAATCTACAGTCTTATGTGATGTACAAAATGTTATTTGGTATCTGCTGCTTCAGTGTAGGGTTCAGTTAAAATTTGGTTCCTGGATTTCCTTCAACTAATTATACTGTATTCTTCCCTAGTTCATACATTTGAAGCTTATAGAAGCTTCCACAAATGTAACAGAAAGGAGCATCTCGCTCATGTAGTACTTTCTTGCATTGTTATAATGACTGGCCTACTCTGCCTGGTGGAAATTAGAATGTGTAGATTGGAGAGTTAAGAGAACCTCTGTACGGTATTCAATGCCCTCAGCAGTGAATAGGACAGCCCCGCAAAATTGGGGGAGACCTTGTCTACCAAAGAAAAATAGGATAGTCTGTGATCACTCAAGGACTGCTTATATCTTCAAGAATGCAGGCCATAGTACAAATGTTTTGGAAAACAAGGTTTCTGATCCAAATGGGTATTGCCTTTTATTTTAATGTGGGTGTATCATGCTAAGGTACCTATTTGTGACTGTGCTGCTGCAACATACTTTCTCCTCCCCCTCCCCCCACCAATCTCTGTATTTTGTCACCAGAAAATGGGTGAGGTCAATACTTGTCTGCTTATCCCTGCTTTTCCTATTTTGTAATTGTAAATTTTAGGATTGTAAATTGTGGGAAAGAACATTTGATTTGTTTTGCAGCCATTGGATGGAGTCAATGGTGGTGATTCTTGTATCTGATTATGCACATGTAAACCACCAATGTTAAATCAATGATTTTGTCTGTGTAGCCAATGTGTGCTATGTGCTGTAAATATATTCGTATGTTTACCGCTTTACAGGAAAAAATTGCACATTCTTTCTGAGACTGCCTCCCCATATCCTTTCCTTTTAAGAATGAAAGCTCATTGCAAGTAAGAACTTATGATTGAGAAGAGCTCTTTCTATATAAATATTCTATAAATATGTATAAATATACTTTTTTAAAGCATGGGTAAAGAAATAAAAATGCATTCATGGAAAGTACTAAGAAATCATTATACAATGGAATATGCACAAGTCAATAAAGATATAGTTAAATTTGTCTGAGGTTGTTTCAAGGGATAATTTGCCTCTGCTCTAGAAGGCATCTACCTGGCAAAACTGCCCACCAATATTCGGGAAATTCATATTCTTTCATATGAAGACTCCAAATAAAAATTTAAGATTTGTTCATCACATAGATGGGAAATTAGTAACATGTTCTACCATACCCAAATTTAAAGTTTCTATAACAGAGAAGAAGGTAGGGACAGAAAGCTGAACAGTCAGAGGCCATAGCATTATTTGCCACATAAGCATCCAAAAACAAGCAAAGCATCACTGCTGCTACTTTATTGGCTGATTCGTGCATGGATATTGGAGGGCCCTGGGCAGTCCAAAGTGAAGTAGAAGACCTTGCTGGGTGCTGTACAGCTTGAGCAGTCAACTTTTAGAAGTTGTTGAAATAGTTTTCCCCTCCTACTTGTGGCTGTTCAGCTGGATCTTCTCATAGTTCAAGGTTGAGATCACCACAGCTTATCTACCCAGGACCCAGAATGTTTCTTAAAATATGTGCAGACTTCAGTTTCTTGTAAACCGTGCTACAGTTCTGTTCCCAAACAGTGTTCTGGGTTTAATGAGGAAAGGCAGTATGTAAATTAAATTAAAGCATCAAGGAATGTATATAGCAACCAAGATTGCAGCAGAAGGAGGGACATCTCTTTTCCAACAGTGTCAGTGTTTTGGGAAGAGGCTGGGCCTGCACTTATTTTTTGAGAAAAGGGGTTCTTTAAGCACACCAGAGGTTAAATATGTTTTATTTTACCCTCCCACCTCCAAATGTAGTAAAAAACACATCATTAAAAAGATTATACATTATGATTTTCACTGAATTTTAATGTAATCTTTCTTTAAAAAAATGTTCTGGGAACCAGTTATCCCAATTTAGAACTCTGAATTGGAAGACTCAAGGGCTTTCTCTGTATGTAGACATAGCGAAATACATATTCTCACCAGTGTTGAATTCTATATTTCTAAAAATGGAATACTATCATCTTTCTAATTGCATGAGGGAGAATATCTTGCCTGTTTTAATATTTTGCCTGTCTTTGCTATTTCTGGTTTGCCCAATAGTTATTAAACTAGAAAAGTAGAACTCAGTGAAAGAATGCTGCATGGAAACTACAGATGATGAAGCACACCAAATCTTGGGAGCCCTTTTTTCAAAAGCCTTGAAACAGTATCAAGAGGTTTTAAAACTAGGTTGCCCAAACTATCATTTTTTCAACTCCTTTTAAGGAACTAGTAACTGAAAATGCGAAAGCAACCATATTGTATCTGACAGCACGTGTTGTTACTATCTTGTAAATGTGGTCTTTTAGTAACACCCTGATATTTATACACCTATATTTAGATATTTCCAAAACAAAGTTACCCAAGATAGGGGCAATGAAACTTCACTAAGTGCTTTTACTTCTTGAGCATAAAACAGTCACTGTTCATTTCTTGTGAACACACTAAAGAAAACAGTTGACATCAAATAACACACAATTTGAAGAATTGGCTAGTTTTAAAGTAGGGTATAACTATTCAGAGGTAGAGGTGATATGCTAGTACAACATTGCATGAGAAAACTGATTTAGCTAATGAGATTCAGGTGACTTGGACACCAGCCTATTCATGCAGATATTCAAATTGATCAACCTGTCCATGTTCAAAGAAGGACACTGACCACAACCTAGGTTGGCAGTTCAATACATCTACTTTTTTCCTCTTCCACACTAAGGACATCAGTGTTAACAAGCACATATCATAATTTTTTAGACTTAAAATATTTATGAGACCCTTCATTTTAATTCTTAAACTACTAAAAAGAGATGCATATATAAAAAGCCAGAAACCAATAGGTTTAGATCTAGTAATAACTTAGGTGCGCAGCAAAAAATTAATCATGAAAAAGTTCAAGACAATTGTCAAGAGGGCAGTGCAAGTTTTGGGGGATTTATTTATTAGGACTTGTAACAAGAGGGTTTAGTACACAGCAACAAATTGATTCCAAATACAATTTTTAAAAAATTAAAAATTTATGTCTCCTCCCTCATCCCACCCCCAAATGGTTTAATGATACACACAATAAATCAAAACCAGCAAGGCCTCCTTCCCTAAAATCCCCCACTGTTCTCACCCTACTGGGATACTTAAAGAGCTCAGAGGCCAGAGCCACTACTAGTAAAGTGGCTGATTTTAAATCAAATGCCTATTTTTTTTATATGATAGCAAATGAAGTTTGCCACACGAGGCACATAATTCAATATCTGAAAAACAGCATCCAATGTTGATGAAATTTCAGCCAGGACTCTTGAAAGACTCCAATTGAAATCACTCTGTGCTATTTCCCATGTTATAGATGAAGAATATAATGGTGTCTATGAATAAAAGAGTGATAGTAGTGCATTAGGGCCAGGCAGGATTTATCACGATATTTTCTGCCTTGAATTGCTGCCTATTCTGCTGCATATTTGGGGAGGGGGGCGGGCACCAGTCTTCTATAGCATGGATTTTAGCATTGCCATTGATCTGGTATACATAATTAGGCATAGAAGACCTTACAAATTCTCTTCATAGGTAAACCTAACAGCTCCCTCTAAATTTCCAAGGGGACTCACTTGTCAAATTCGAATCTATCAGCATTTAAAAAAAAAAAAATGCACCAGTCTAAGTTCTTTGTTTTGAGTAACAACAACTTGTTTTTTGTTTTACTGCAGTATCCTGTCTAATAAAAGTGATGTATAATACTGTAAATGTTAAGACAGGTGTATAATCTCTGAGAAATCTAAAATAATAGAGAATGTCTATATTTTTCTAATTAGTACATCAGCTCTCACAGAATATGTGTGGATGCTCAAAATCTGTCATCACATAGCTAATTTAATCCTATCTAATTCAACATTCCCTTCATTGATGACATTTTCAAATACTGCTATAAACAAAGGCTGCTCCAACAACCCAAAACTGGAAGACATGCTGTCATTATTAATTAATTTAACACACGTCATTTCTTCTACATTTTAACTTCTGGAGTGGTGCAAAACCATCTAAGCTAGCTATACCTTTAATTTTTCTCTAGCAAAACATGCCTAAAGTACTGTTCACCAGAAACACTTCTTAAGTCCTTGTTCTTATGTGAAAAAAGTTTAACTCTTCACTTTTCACTCCACATAGAAATCAGGAATAAATTATGAAAATAATAAAAGGTAAAACCACAACACAATCTGCAAAGGTTAGATTTCCCTCACCTCCCTACAAAAGCCTAGCTGTTAGAGATCACCCAGAACATTCACTTTTCTCATTAAATTATCCTTCTCCCTTCCCAAATGTTGCCAATTTAACAAGGTAAAATAACAAACCCACAAGCGACATCTCTATGCCATTCTTATAAACCATGTAAAATTCAAGCAAAAGAGCAGCCAAATGATATAATAGACTCTGGATCATATTCTTTGCCTCTTCCTCCTATACTATGATGCCAGCTCTCAAATGAGGAAAAGAAATTTTCCATTTCTACTGAAGGAAAGAAAGCCCCTATAAAGGATAATCCTTAGGCCTGAAGGCACCAACATATTGTTTTTATGATAAACAAAAAGCACTTTTCCATAGGGGAAAATTTGATCCTCTAGGACAGCAATATTTGAAGGCTTTGGGCCAAAGCTCAACTTCCCAATCTTCTGGAGGGCTGTAGGAGCAATCTTTTTCTCCCAGAAAGGATAGGATCAAGAGTTTTGACCTGTGGAAATACGAACAGGAGAGGCTCCTATTCTTGCCCTCAATGCATCCAAGGCCCTACATTACGGTATCTCCCCAAATCATTTATATGTTGAGGATGGAAAGATAAGAATTAGGGTTGTCATGCTTCACATTTCCATTCATTCCCATCTTTAATTTGGGCAAAGCCCATCTTAAATTCAACTACTTGGCTTATGAATTTGGACAGCATGTCTCGCAGTGGTAGGGGCTCAAACTGGATGTAGAGAAGCTACATGAAGCCAAAGGGCTGCTAATTCATACCATAGCAAACAAATGTTGTTTTCTAAAAGAAGCAGAAGAATGTTCATGAATATGGATACATGTGCCATAATTGCATGGTTGGAAAAATGAGCGCTGAGGGAATCAAAGCCATTTTATGGTCAAGGAAAAGCTTAAAAAATTGACACTGAGCTCTTTTTGGTCTCCCTACTACATGTTTTTCCCCACAAGATACTGAAACAGAATGTGGAATGTTCAACATATTTAATAGCTTTACAGCAGGACTAGGGAAAGAGGATAGGTACAAGGGAGAAATCCAGGCCCTTCCTCTTCACCCCTTTTTCTTAATTAAACACTAGTGGGGGAAAAAAGATAAGTTGGGAAAAATAGTAAATGATATTTGAAAAACCACTCTCACTGTCTTGATATAACATGCAGTCTATGTAACATTACATACACACAGAGTCTGATTACTTTGGGCCTTGTACATAGCATCATCCATAGGCATTCTACAGAATTCAAAATTGTAATTGTACAAAATAAAAAATAAGCATAAAATCCAAGGATTATTTTCACAACATTAGTATTGCAGAATAAAAGCATTAAACCAGCAGGAGGCAAGGAATCTGTAAACACCCTCTGCAGCAGTTTGCAGGAAGATGATCTTGGCCCGTGAAGGATACAGGAAGCAGTCATACAATCAGAGAGTTCCAAATTCTTATAAGGGAACTGTGGCCCTGCCCTCCATAGAAGCTGTACAGTTTCTCCCCAAACAAGCAAATGAGTAGCATCTTATAAAAATCATGTGATACTGAAAGCACTTTTAAACAGGAAAAACAAAAAGGCTATCAATAAAAAACAAACCCTCTCCAACCCTCCCTTTCATAACCAGGATTCATTTATGTTCTGCCGCAGAATCATCTTCCAACTTCTATTTGTTCTAGGAATAAAATTTGATGGTTTAGGTCTTGCAAAGGGACAGAGTTAAGAATTCACATTACTGACTTTTCAACATGAGAGCTCCAGGCATAACAGCAGTCTTTTCTACAACCAAAAACAAGTGTCACATTTCCCAGAACAGCAGAGAAGACACCACATGTGAAGGATTGTTAAGGCAACCTGTTTCTGAAAAAGGAAAATAAGATTTATTTATTTTATTTTTTGGGGGGGGAGCACTCTTCAGAAGTTGATGGAACCATAAAATCACGGCACCAGACAATAACTGCATCAATAATGACAAAAAAAGGAGAATATGAAAAATTGGGAGAGGAAATTTGAATAAACTATGTTTTTATGCTGCTTTCCTAATTAGCTGTGGCTCAGGTTTTCCATTCTAAAGAAATTGTTTGCAACACAGCTCATAGCCTGCAGCACAACACCCAATATGTTTAAATGTTAGTTTTTCAGAACTGAGCCCACGCAAGTCCACAAAATTTGTCCAGAATTATTTGCCATAACCCCTGATTTCTTTTGTTCATCCTCTTGGCAGGCTCTGCAAAACTCAGGAGAAAGCAGGCTGCCACTGATGATCTTTGAAGCAGAATCCTACTCCAAAGCGCCAAACAAGTATTATAGTTGCATTTTCAACTTCTCAGAGCAGAGTCTTCTCTTAGCTGGGTCCCCATGGAGCAGTGACAGCCACTTATAACAAGTATATTGATGGAGGTTGAATTCCCATCTTCATATGGTAGGTTGTGTCTCAAGACTGTACACCATAACACCACACATAAGATATTATACAGTAAAGCCTATATGCATACCCATCATGCTTGGTCCTTTGTAGAAATCTACCCTTTGTCCTAACAGATCAGGCTCTCATGAATCATTCTCAATTGGAGGTCCAGTGTTTATGCAAGAAATGGCTCCAGTATTCCAACATCTACAGATATATCCAGCTTTCAGAGATACCAATCTTTCTTGGACAAATCAAATCTGGATGCCTTTAAACAAGCCAGTCCTCAGTGATCTTTATACTATAAACACTGGCATCTGTTGGGGGGAGGGGGTGCCAGTAAAGGCAAACTGATGGTCACAGAATGCAACTGAACTCCCACTCCTCTGTACCTCTGCAATATCGACATCATTAAAAAGGGGAGGCAGCTTTGATGATCATCTTGTTTTTTGGGGATGCCAGTGACAAACATTATCACAGTAGGTCTCAAGCTTTGAAACAGTAATCTTTGAAGGGACCTGGATCTCATTAGCAGTCCTACTAATGGGAGCTACAACAATTGATGTTAAGTTAATGACTTTTGGTAGCACCTGAGGTTTATTAATGGCACAAACAAGCAACCGAGGAAGCCACAGAAGTTATACCAACATAATCTGCATAACTCAGAAAGTTGTTAGTAAATTTAGAGCTAGCTTATGTGAGAAAGGAAGGCTGACCACTACAATCAGTGTTCCAAGCACATGATTACTGAACATTATCTTGAGCAATATACCCAGCAAATCAACTAAGAGTAAGAAGTATGAAATGTTTACAATGCCTTAAAAAGAAATATCTTATTCTGTGTATTTGGGAAAACTTTTATTATGTTAATCAGCAGCGAAGAATTGGACTGGGATTAAAACTTAACTTCTCACAATACACCACAGAGCTCATAATCCCCCCAATTCAGCTGCTATCAGAATAAAACCAGCAGCTAAGCAAAAGCAAGTTTCATAAGGACTATGGTCTACAGTACAGAAAAAAGTTCCACACCTTCCCCCTCACTTCATGCCTGAATCTGATAGCTCCATGATTGCTGGATAACAAAAATAAACACATTCTGTATATGCCTACAGACATTATAGCAGATTTTCATTCCCTTGTTGGAAAATCACCCACATATTTACTGGTGGGAGAAAAAGCAGTTACACTTTTGCCAGTTTCTAAATTAGGGTTCAAAGAAAACCAACAGCATTTGGAAATCTTTGAGCAATATTTGTCTGCCTTCAAAGGTCCTTTATGCTTTGTATCAAAATCTGAAATAGAACAAATGGCCAATTTCATTAGTACATACTTATTCTGAGTTGGACAAGCTATAGTCAACTGAAGCAGGCTAATCAGACAAAAGCCTTTCTCTATAAAATACTTCTGTCCCTTTCCAACTCCCAAATTATGAAACATGAGGTAATTTTAGAACATTGCTGTCAGCCTTTGTAACAACAATCAGGGCTAAAGCAGTTTTTGAACACTATCAGGAGGGCAGGTTTAAACTATTTCACAAATATTTTGCATACTGAGGGCTGAATAAGGCTGCTTATTATATAATTATATGAAGGACAGAGGCCATTTTTAAAATGTCAAACTTTATCGTCCTTCATGATCTTTAGTCCAACTTCTTAAAAATAATTGAATGATACAAAAGAAGCTCAGTTTATGACTTGGAAGTCTCAATATATTGGGAGATTATCTCTGATGTTATGTCCTCCTGTAAGAAGAAATGAAACAGCTCCTTACAAGCCTAGATCAAGCTATATGTGTGAAACAATTGCAGAATTGCTGTATTAGAGATGCAAGGAACCAATCTGAGACCCAGTTGGTGTGTAATCTCAGAATGTTTGCCAGTACAATAACACACATCCAACAGTAATATGTGCAGAATAAGGAGGGGGAAAAAGATGGCAGATAGCCTAACAAAGCCTTCAGCACTAACATCCAAGATGCCCCAATACCAGGCATGGTATTCCTGAGGAAAAAAAATCCCATATTTTGATTGAATGGGTCTCAATTTGAGCAATGGATCCCTTTACTGGCAAGTTCATTACATCTCTGTATCTACATGTTGATCAGTCAGCTCATTAATATTGGTCATTCAGCTTGGTCGCTGCTGGCAAATGGAAGAGCCATTCTTCAAAACAATTCAAATCACCATTTTATAAAAAGGAAGAAAGGGGAGTGGTTTTGTTACAATGATCCTTCCTTCCTTCAGGTGCCCAGGTTTCCCCCAAGCTGCCAATGGGACCTGGGCAGCTCAACAATCTCTTGGTTCTGTCTCTCGCCATAGTGGTCTTCATTCTGAGTAGTGCATGATGGACTCTACATAGTTTCCGGGGAAGAGTCCAGTTACTCCATTCATCACACCTTCATACCACCCATCATCATTTTTCTTGATGACGTAGATGATGGCACCTTCCTGAAAGGAAAGTTCATCTTCCTTGTCTTTAGTGTAATCATAAATTGCCACAACTAGGAACAAGAAGAAAAACAAAATTAGCATTTCAAATAAGCAGTTGAACCCAAGGCAATTACAGCTTTCACTTAAGTGGTCTCTTGTATCAAAAAGTAGGCATTTTCTTTACTGGCTATTCATGCAAGAGTTCCTTCCCATTTACAGAAACAGTTGCTATCACAACATTGTAAAACATAGACATGTATACATTTTGATTCTAAAATGATGGAATACTAAATTTTAAAAAATGACTAATTTTACTAAATGACTAATTCCTCAAAACTGTCCACAAACAGGGCAACAAGGTTTCTTTGATAATAGAAGTGGGAGTTCAATCCATACATCTTTCCTTTAACAGTGATTTTCCAGGATACGTGGTGCAGGACTACTAACAATGCTTTGGTGACTTAATGAAATTCTAATTATTTCTCATATGGCTGAAAATGAAATGAAAAGCACAAAAATGATTTAGTGGATAGTTTTTCAAAAACCTTTTTGCCTTGTGCTCAAACACCAAACTTCTAGCCCCACAATTTCAGTTGGGTGACCTTGGGCCACTCACTCACTCTCAGTTCTAAGAACAAGGCAATGGCACACTCCTGAAATCTTGCCAAGAAAAATAAACTGAGTTATCCAGTCAGTAACCAGGAGTAAACCCTGAGTCAAAGCAATCCCCCACACACACAACCCCCCCCCACAAGATACTATGCAGGTAGTCCTTGAACTATGACCATTCATTCAGCGACTGTTCAGTTATGACAGTGCTGAATGACGGGGGTTATCACTCATCGTCAGTGTTCTGGCTAAACCAACACTCACACAATCAGTCAATCACATAACCAGTTGCCAAATACCATGTGATCATATGATCGCCATCTATGATGTCCCCTAACTTTTCCAGAAAGTCGATGGGGAGGCCAACAGGGAATGTCACAAGTCACTGGGCTAAGTCCCCTTCACCTGTGCACCAGCCCCCTGCAATCATGCTGTGCCAGCCACTTGCACCTCCCTGTAATACCCTCCTGGATCGGCATGTCATGCATGCCCTCATTCAACATTCTCACACCTCATTCTCATGCAACTTCATGCATCTAATTCGCTCCAATTCTCAGGCAACCCACCACTCTCTCACTGACCTGCACAAAGCCTCTCATGCACTCTTCACACTTTCCCTGACCAGCACCACTTGCAGATTCCCTCCCTACATCCCCACACACCTCCTTGGTCTCTGATCTCACTCACCTCCAGCAGCAGCAACTTACCTGCCTGTCGGCCTAGGACTTGCAACTTCCTGTCAGCTTCTCCACTAAGTTTGGTGTAAGAAACCAGCAAGAAGTTGCCTCACCTAACAACTGTGGATTTCAATTACCATATTTTTCAGAATATAAAACACACCAAGATTTCAAAGAGGTAAACAAGAAAAAAAAAAGTTTTTGCCTTCCCTGGCCCCCAGGAGCACTCTGTAGGCCTCTCAAACACTTTGTGTGTCCCGTTTTTGCAAAAAATGGGCCCATTTTTTGCAAACACAGGATGCGTAGATGGTTTGGGGGGGGCTGCAAACTGATTCTGGGGGCTGGGGAGGGCAAAAACAGGACGCATGGGGGTTTTGGGAGGCTAAAAACAGGCCCGCTTTTCACAAAAATGGGATGCACAGAGGGTTTGGGAGGCCTGCAAAGTGCTTCTGGGAGCTAGGGAGGGCAAAAACGCCAGTTTTTGCAAAAAACAGGCTCATTTTTTGGCTCCCAACCCCCACCCCCACCCTACGTGTCATGTTTTTGCCCTCCCCAGTCCCCAGAAGCACTCTGCAGGCCTCCCAAATCCTCTGCAGGCCCTGTTTTTGCAAAAAACGGGACATGTAGGGCAGGGTTTCAGGAAGCCAAAAATGGCTGTATTCGGTGTATAAGATGCACCAACATTTCTACCTTCTTTTAGGGGAGAAAAAGTGTGTCTTATACTCCAAAAAGTATGGTAACAATAGCAACCAGGATTATATGGACTGCATCACTAAAAGATGCAGTCATATTTTATTACTGCTTTGCTTGATGATGGAAAGTCTGGTCCCAATTGCTGATGTAGGTCAAAGACTACATATGACACACAGATGAAATGGAATACAATCACAGTTATTAGTAATTGACATAGGGAAACATTTTTAAAAACTGAATGCATAAAATTAAATTTCTGAATTACATTCATATCTGGATGTGGTTTGGGTTCTTGGGGAAAGGAGCCAGTTACATTTTGTTTAAAAGGAGTTGGAGATGGCTGATAACAATTTTATTTCACAATCACATCAGAAGTCACACTTTGGGACATCACATAAGAGAACAAAATATTTTTCTAGTGCTATTACTTGGCAAAAAGTAGAAAACCTGTGACTCTCAAGTTCTCAAGATAAAAAGGCATCTGTATAATGTACTGCACTGAATTCAGACCCAATAAGGGAGACAAACTTCCATCCCCTCCTATAACTCCAACCAACTAACCTTTCTCCAAATAGGTTCTTGGTGCCCATGGTGGATCCTCTTCAGCATAAGGATCACTGTATTCCACCACAGCTGCTTCTTCTTCTTCATAATCCTCTGGAGGAGGGGGTGGCGGTGGAGATTCATCAAAAACAGCTTCGTCTACAGGGGGTGGAGGGGGAGGTGTGTCTGAAACTAAAAAAATAAAAAAACATTCAAGTTTCCTGACTTAGATGTTTATATAAATAGCAATGTAATAAATTTTACACATGAAACCCGAAGTGGAAATATAGAGATATCTTGTAAATAATATTACAGATTATGCTTCAAATTTTCCTTCATTCTTCAAAACTTTCATTGATAGATGAGCAAAGCCACAGATACACAAACTTGTGGATAATTACAGATAATGAGGGCTAGTTATATGCATAACATTTATATAGATTGTTTTGTAGCAAAGAATTTGCAAGACTCCTTTGCTTCCCTTCTTCTAATGTACATAATCTGTTTAATGGAGATAATCAAATAATTTTGGTATCCATCAGCTATTAAAATCCAACTCCTAGCTAGTATGGTGTCAAAGATGATATCATATACCTTTCAGCACTGTAGGGAAAGGAACGGCAGAATCTGGGGTTGGAGTTAAAAGAGGAATGATCTAGGATCTCTATGTAGCCACAAGTGAACTAAGACCAATCTCACCACCACCCCAATTTGGTTGACCCAGTGGTGAAATGTAAAATTTGTTACTACTGGTTCTGTGGGCGTGGCTTGGTGTGGGGTAATGTGACTGGGTGGGCATAGCCAACTTTTTTTTAAAAAAACTTTTAAAAGCATTTTTTTTTACAACCTTTTCGGCCAAAGAGGTTGTAAAAAAAATGCTACTAAAAGGCTCTGACGATCCCAGCTGAGTTGCCTGATCGTCAGAGGCTTTTTTTTTCTTTTAAAAGCAAAACGCAAAACTGAAAGACCTTTACTTAAGTCACAGATCAATAAAAAGGCAAACTTACTGTTTTCCTGAACTCTGGCCACAAATCCCATTAATGGTAACTGAGGAGTTACCTGTAGGATGGAGGGAGGAGGTGGTGCAAGAGACACTGCAGTGAAGAAGTACAAATAGACTCCAATCAGAAATATAGTATAGAAATATGAAATAACTGGATAGACAATGTGGCATCTTACTAAATCCAATAGAGTGACTGGATAATTAAAAACTAGGTAATATTAATTGTGCAGAACTTTGAAAATGGATAACCAGATTTTTTAAGAAACAATTTTTTTTAGAATTCTGGGAAACATCTACAGTATCTACAGAATAATATTCCTGAAACAGCCCCATTTAAATCATACTTATTTTATTATAGCTAATAAAATGTCATACAACATTATTGTGGCAAATAGAAATATTGCTACACTATTAATGCTGCTAAGAGGAAATGTTTCTTCTTCCATATTTATCAATGTGATATAAATATGGACTGTTGATCCATTTCTGCTTAATCAAAATTAATTTAGGGCTGAGGATTTAACTGCATTTAAAGAGTGTGACTATGTGGCTAAATCCTGAATTGCATTTACTAAAATACTTATATTTTTATAAGTTTACAATCAATGTTATATTTTTATAAGTTTACAATCAATGTAAGCAACAACTTTAAATAATTTTTTTCTTCTGATTAGATAAATTGAATTGGGATTACATTACTATTATTATACATTATTGTATTGGGTAGTTTCCATGATATATCAACAATGGAATAACAAATGTCAATAATTTATCTTCCAACAGTTTATTTTACAAAGTATTCTACCAAATATATTGAATAGTAAGAAAATAAAAAATTTTGCAGAAGAAAAAGTGTCCAAACCTAAGCAATTTACTTCACATTTTTAAAAAGTACATGCAAGTTTTGGGGAAGGGGAAATATATGTATCTGAACATAACATGTATGTACTTGTGCATATATATCAATAGCACTTAAGACTTAATATACTGTTTCACAGTGCTTTACAGCCCTCTCTAAGCGTCAGCATATTGCCCCCAACAATCTGGGATCTCATTTTACTGACCTCGGAAGGATGGAAGGGAGTCTCAACTGTGAGGATCAAACCGCTGGCTGTCAGCAGAATTAGCCTGCAATACTGCATTCCAGCCACTGCAGCACCACAGCTGTAATGTACGGTACCTTTCTATTCGTTCTATGCCTCTATAGGCATTATATAGGGATTATGATAATGCCATTATGTACTGTGTCAAAAGACACTTAAAGCGAGTGAACTAGGTGTTCTTGGATTTGATTCTTCCATTACCAATTCCTTAGTATAAACAAACATACTAAAAAAATTAAAGCCAGGACTTAGTTATGTGCTATGATATATAGAAGGTTCTTGCTAAACATATCCAGCTACTTCTGGTTAGTATTCTTCTCTTCTATAATGGATCAGAACTGGGAATTCTACAAGGGCCTATCTTACCTGGATTCTGGCTATAAAATGGTCCTCCGTTGACCTGGTTTTGAAGGCTGTTCTGTGAAGTGATGGATGGAGGGCGCCTATATGGCAAAGAACCCCCTATTGTTGGAGGTGTGTGCCGAGTAGCAGGTCTGTTCATGCTGTAGAACTGAACAGGATGACCTATTTTGACAGGTTAGAAAAAATATAAAACCTTGAGCAATGCATTTTTAGATGAAGTAATTCAATTTAGGCATGCAATTCAAATTAAGTGGTTAAAAACACATATGTTTCCGTCAAGTTCTCTAATGGAAAAAAATCCTATGTAGATCAGAGTATATTAAACAAATTTAAGAAGAAAACATTCTTAGAGTTGATTCTGACTCTGAAAAAACGTGGCCAAATATAGAAGTAGATAAATTGATGGATAATCTGGAAGTCAGCATTTCAATACATACATAACACGCAAGTTAATTATTTAATAACCGGCATATATGAATGAGTTAATATGAACTAAATATCTACATCCTCTACTCTTTCAGCCACAGTGCTTCCCAGTGAAAGTGTAAAGAGCCAGAATGCAGAAGAATCTCATGTCAGATATTGCATTGTGAAGCAGTTGGGTATTACTCAAGTACCATATGAATGGGTTTCGCTAATTACAAAATGTTGAATTTCTCATGCCTGGACTTTCCAGAGTTGTTTCTGCATGCACAGCTCTTTCGCAGAAGTACAGGACAGTCTGCTGCCACCTTGCTTTGCCCAAATGTTTTTTTGAATAATTTCCACAATCTTATTATTGACTAGCTTAAGGTCAACATTTCAAAGTCAGGACCAAGGTAAAATCAAGGGCAATGGATTGGAACTGGTAATCTCAGGATCACTGGTGGCTCCTGGGAATCATAAATATTCTCCTGATTGATTGCCAAAAATATTTTTTAAAAATAGCAAAATATTGCCAACTGTAAAACTATCAGTGTTCATTCAGCATTACCATCTCAAATCTTGTGAGATATTTGATCTTAATCATTTTCAGCTTTCTTAATATAAATATGTGATCATAATTAATGAGCAGTTGTTAGCACAGTCAACAGAACAAATAGAAAGTACTGTAATGCAGAATGACAGCCAGTTTGGTACAGTGCACTGGGCTAAAAACCAGGAAACCCTGTATTCTAGTCCTGCATTAGCACAATGTCAGCTGGGTATTCTTGGGCTGATCACTCTAGGAAGGAGGCAATGGCAAATCACTTCTGAAATGTTGCCAAGAAAACGTCAGGGATTTGTCCAGGCAGTCTCTGATAATTAGATACGATTGAATGGAAGAAAAAAAAAAATCCAAAGTTCTATGTGCAAATATAATAAGAGTTTCTAAGAGCTGTAATTTAAAACATATGAATTTCACATAGCCTAATTGTGCTTTATTACATATGGAAGGTTTATTTCACTGCAAAACTATGTACTTCTTATATAGGAATAAAATAAGCCAAGCTGATACCAGAAGCTGTATTATATGAAGTTAAGAAATAAAACTATATATAAATTTAATAATATGAACTAGAGCATATCCCAGAGTTTGCTATTCACAGAATTAATCTGGCAAAATGCATCTTGGCTGATTGTAGCTTCCATCTTTTGATATTTTTTTAAATTGTTTTTATTCAACGTTTACATCTTTTAAATCTTAGTTATACTTTTACAGTTTTCCAATACCAGCATTTTTAGTAATATCCTATTTATCTTTCAGCCAACTATATACATACACATTTTTTGTTACATACTTATTCATATAATCAATACATTTTTATACATATCTACTACACATTAAATATAACATTTCATTATAATATCTTCTCTTTTGAGCTTCCATCTTTCTAATTTTGTCCAGAACATCAGAAAAATAAAAGCCACTAGCTCCAAAATGAATCATCTTCATTCTGATATGGTTCTAGGGGAAAAGGCATTTTTCCTCACTCAAGAAGGAAAAAGAGAAATAATGGATATATCCATCTATCTAAAAGCTCAAAACATCTGGTCAGTTTTAGGCAAGAATTGCACTTTTCAGTTGTCAGCAATCAGCAGCAGAAACTCACCTGAAGAGGGATTGGAAGAGGCAGCAGGGGGAGTTGGAGAAGTGAAGCCATCAGCAAGGGGCTGACCCCCTGCAGCAGCAGCAACATCTGGGGTAGCAGAGGATGGGGCAGTAGCAGGAGTGAGAGGGGCGGAAGCAGAGGCAGAAGTAGCAGGAAGAGGAGAAGTGCCAGCAGAACTGGCAGGGGCTATGTTGAAAGAGGAGGAAGAGGCAGCATTAAGGAATAGTTCAGGTTAGCAAGGAGGAGAAAAGCTTTTTGAATCATTGCTGTTAAGATTTCGTCAATTCTTTAAAAATTAGCAAAAAGAAAAAAAAAGAAAGGAAAAAAAATGGACAGAGCAGGAATGTTTACACTGAGGAGTTTCCCATTACATATACAGCTAAACACCAAACTAAAAAAAACAAAAAAACAAAAGGAACAGGAATGCATTCTATACAAAAAAACCTCATAAACCTAAATCATGTCTTGTTTTAGCTGTTGATATAGAACAAGAGTGCCATGTGGTTCTTTGCCACACAGTGTGATTCTTTGCCTCAGAGAAGGCAGGACCAAAATTTGTGTGGGGAGGGCAGATTTGGGAGGAGGGTTTGATGTGGTTTTACATGTTGGTGTTTTGGGGGGGGGGGCAAATTGGACCTACTGCTTATGGTCCCAGGCCAATTTTTTCTATTAACTATTTGACTCCTAATCAAATTCAACAAAAGCCCAACCCAAAACGCAAAATAAAATTTTTAAAGCAAGAATTTGACCCCACCGATTCTAATAACTTCCCTCTTTGAAGGGAAGGAGGAGGAAAAACAGGGGAACCATGTTGTTTGGAATTCAACTTCCAGAGGTGGCACCTGACTTTTTTTCTACGTAACAAAGTAACATGATACGTGTATGTTTCTCCTCATAAGTTCATATTGCATCTATTTGTGTGTGTCTCAGGATCCAATCAGAGTGGATGCATGTGCATTGCCTGGGTGTGCATGAAAAAGGTCTATTTAGAATGACTACATATATGTTGCCTGATTTTGTATATGTGTCAGGCAGCCTATTATACAATATGTGGGTGGGTAGATGGGTGGACAGACAGACAGACAGATGCATCTCTATACATGTCTTTCTGCTCTCACTTCATGTTGCATCTATGTTTACATGTACAAGGTTGACTCAGCCTTCCATCCTTCCGAGGTCGGTAAAATGAGGACCCAGATTGTTGGGGGCAACATGCTGACTCTGTAAAACCGCTTAGAGAGGCCTGTAAAGCACTATGAAGCAATATATAAGTCTAAGTGCTATTGCAATTACTACTGAACAGCAATAGGTAGGCTGCAGGACAGGAATCTTACAACAGAGCAGTCAGCAGCATTCTAAGCTACTGCCCAACTGTGGGAGACACACAAGGGGTGGTGATGTTCTAGAATGTATTTCACGGCAACCTCCAATCAAATCCAGTCCATTTTTGTACGTAATTGTACTTCCACTAATTTTTCTCCCCATACCAATTTTGCTGCTATTCTATCCTACTGATGGACAGACCCTCAGACAGAGTTACAAACACATTTACATTTTTTCAATGTTCTGTTTGATTGGAATGAAATAAGAAAAGACTGCAATTTTCTTTTTATCAGGTGAAGGAGCTATGATGGGAAACCCAATCTTACTGTCAAGGTGCATGTCACCAACAAAGAGAATAGCTTCTGATTATTTGGGGTTGAAGAATGGATAATTTTTCTTTTTACTGCCATCTCCCCACCCATTAAAATAACACAAAATTAAGGAAAGGCCTATTTCATTTACTTAATAAAATTAGATTTACTATAAAAGAAAGTATTACAAATGCTATGCATTGTTTTATATTTCAATAAAAATATTTATTTTACTCCATACATGGAGATAATCTCTGTCCTTTGAACATGTAGAATAATATAACTCATTACTTCTCATTTTTTTCTTTGCAAATATTTTGTTGCTTATCAGTCAGGTTTTTTTAAAAAAAAACCAAACAAACAAAATTTAAGACCACTGCATTAAAAGGTGTTATCATATTCTGAATTTTAAAATGCAATTAGCTATGCATTTGATTCTGGTAGCTGTTGTGCAACTGATAGGCTGGCTTCAACAATTCAAACAAGAGATTTCTAACTATGGCAATAACTTGTTAGAATCAGCCTTCACCTTCATTACTTCGCATGATATATGTGGATATGAATGAAATGTTTCAATGTGACTACTAAATTTTTATAAGTATAAATTAATGTTGTGTTTAAACATTAAAACTTAGGACTTGATTATTTGTAGACCTGCTGCTGCTGCTATTATTATTGCTGTTATTATTCATAAGGTCATTTCAGCATGAGCAATTCAAAGCACTACATGAAAACATTTAAAAGTACATCATAAAACATTAAACAGATTAAAATAAATTAACAGATTAAAATAACCATTGAATAGGGAAATACCATAACAATTAAAAAGCACACAATACATGTATGTATGTATGTATGTGTGTATGTATGTATGTATGTAAATACATGTGTATGTATTGTGTGTATTTTAACTGTTATGGTATTTCCCCGATTCAATGTATTTACATATATGTAAATACATATAAGATCACAAATCACCCTGGCCCAGGGCCTGTTGGGAGAACCAGGATTTTTAAGTTTTCCTCAGTGACAGAAAGAGCAGGGCCATAAAGACCTCAGGGAGAAATTCATTAGAATACAAGTTTTGGAAATGCTAATACAAGTCAGCCATCTCACAGCCCAACAGTTATATTAATGATAACCTGAAGTAGACTGATAATTGATGAGGTGATTCAAAAAGATGAAGTGATAATCAATTGTATAAAATGCCTTTCCCATCTTGCTAAAAATGTTAAATGTAAGTTGAACAGAGTTAGAAAAAGAATATAAATTCCAATCAAATAGTGCCAGATGAAATGTACAGTATCCTTAGGTATGAGTGAGAAAGTTTCCAATTCTCCTCATCCTCTGGAACCAAGCAAAATAGATAGTTCTGATCTGGATGGAATAATTTGACAGTATTCAAATTAATACTATGCTCACTGTATAATAGAGAATGATATGCCAATAACTAGCCTGTACAATCTATATTTATAGTTATATAGATTCTAGCCTTATTGCTATTTTATTATATAAACCTTACAATATAGAACAGGGGTATCAAACTTAAGGCCCGTGGGCCGGGTGCTTAAATCTGCTCATGGGGCCGGCCTGGAAATATCAAAGGACTGGCCCGGGGTGCCTCTGCCAGCCAAAACAGACTGCGAAGGGTACGTGTGGTTCCCCCTCTAACAGGAGGCCTTATGTGGCCCATTTTCGGCCACCATGACCTCTTGCAGCACTGTGCCAGCCAAAAACATTTTTGGCCGGTAGAGTGCTACAGGAGGACTGGATTACAATTATGTGGCCTCAAGTAAGTGCCTGATCTGGATAGAAAACAAGCAATATCCTATATTAATACTACAGTTTAATGCCAGATTTTACATACTGTAGGTCCATTTAATCTACAATCAACAATCTATAATTGACAGCCATTTCTATTTGCTATCCTGGAAATTTACCTCTGCTGTTAGAACTTATATTATCATGTTACTTATGCTATCATATTTTTATTATTAGTTGAATAGTATACATAGCTTTTATACTATTTATATATAGTATAAATAGCTTTTCTGCCTGGAAAAGCAATTTACTATTAAACAATGGGTTATAAATTTAGAAATAAAAAGTTTAATGGAGTATGAAGAATAAGTAATAAATGTTTGCCAGTAATATCTGGCAATATAAAGTAATATAAAGTTATTATTTTATTTTGGACATGTGATGCGACACCCACAAAAATACAGCATCCTTCACTTAATCCTCCAGGGAAAGATTGAAGGCAAACGAGACCCAGGCAGAAGAAGAACATCATGGCTTCAAAACCTAAGGGACTGGTTTGGACAAAACTCAGCAGCACTTTTTCATACGCCTGTTGACAAAATTAGGATTGCCAACATGATCGCCAACGTCCGATGACGGACATGGCACAAGAAGAAGAAGAAGTAATATCTGGTAGAAGAGATAGGGAAATGGTTATCGTAAAGAACTATGGAAAGAAATAAGAGAAGGGGGGGAAATGCATCTTGGGCCTGTGTCAAATGCCCACCCCAGCCACGCCCACTATGACCACACCCACCCATACCCCTGGTTCTCCGAGGTCAAACACAACCTCAATGAAATCAAATTTGATACCCCTGATATAGAGATTTTAGATTCATACATATTCACCTGTAGATTTCAATGTATAGATTGTATCTTATAGGTATTCTATTGTTTAAAAAAAAAATTCACAAACACCAAGTACCACAGCAATTAATTTTGGGATTCCTTTTGCATTATTTTATCCTGTATGCTAGTCACATATCACAATAGATAAACTTTCACAAGAGATAGTCACATATTCAGTAATGGTAAACTGCAGAAGGAGTGTAAAGCTTTTAATTAGCATGCAAACTATATAGCTTTTTGCTACAGAAAATCCTTCCCTTTTAAAAAATAAGTCAGCACGTTAAGTTTGTGTACTAGTAGAAATTTAGGTATGCAGTTCCATATTTAATCCCACAACTAGACCAAAACAAACACACAAAGACCAAAATAAACATAACAGAGAAATACTGTACTAACCAGATGATTAGATAGAAACAGATACAGAACAGAAACTCTCAAAGTTACCAAGATTGCTAAATAGTTAGAAATTTGATAGTGATTTCTTAGCTAAAAGGAAATGGCATAAGAATGAAGTAAGAAGAGCATTTACTAGGTTGGATCACCAAACTATACAGACGGTTCCCATTTCTGCAAGCAGACAAGACAAAATAGGGAAACTATTGAATCCTCCCTCTTAAACAGCAAGGATGGCAAAACACTGTAATGGAAAAAAGTGAAAAGGTTCTTATATAAAGATCTTTGCTGAGCATTTAGTATGGGAAAGAATCTCCCAAAATGTTCTCCTTCCATATAGCACTGGAATTTTGCTTAGGTCATACTGAGTATCAGTGTTGAGGATGTTTTGCTTCAGCTTATAGCAGCTTCTCTCAGGGCTGCACAAAGTGAAACAATGGGCTGGTGATGTTTCAGATTGTGAGAATGCCTCACTTCCACAACATTCTTGAGCTGCCATCCCCCCCCCCCAAAAAAGTGCTATTTCAAGTAGCAAAGTTTCTCTGTGTACGAGTTTCCACAGAAATTGGGCCAGATTCATGAGATTCCATCCCAATAAGAAATTCATAGCAATGCTCTAAAAATTTAGATAGAAATGCCTCCATAGACTTCTATATACCTTATAACAAATCTGTAAGCTGTATAACATATTAGCCTTGAAAAAATTAGTTGTAGCAAAAGCATGTTTATTGTCATTGTGGTTGGCAAAATACAGAAACTGCATTTGAAAATATATGGCTCCGGTGGTGATATAACAAGACTTGTTTTTACTAAGAAAACAAAAGAAGGACATTTTGGAAGTGCACTAATGTGCTTTTATAAAATTGTAACAAAAGCTCACAAGATTAGACCAGGATTCTGCTGTATGGCTCCAACAACATGCTTAAAAGAAGATGACTCTACAATCTACAATTATGAGTCCCCAAACCTATACCAGACTCTTCTTATTCTCTTCTTTTCTAAGTAGAAAGAACTCACCCATAGGGCTGTTGTGGTGGGGAAATAGGAGAAAGGTGTGTTGGACATGTTCGTTGCCTTGAGTTATTTGTAAAAATAATAAAGTGGGATACAAATAAACACAAAGATAAATAAGCCATTTCCTCAAAGTTGGCCACATTGTTGTTCATTGTTACATCTGGTTAGACAAAAAGAAAATGCTGCAACCCCAAAACAGTTGCTCAGGGAACCCCAGTATCAATCTATTTTTGATCTTTACTTCCTGATCTTGAGTCATACCAATCCATAAGAGAACCTTATGGTCCAGGAAATTTCGATGAGGAATTTTTGAAATTCAAAGTGTTAACAGGTAATCCTCAACATATGACTGTTCACATAACAATGGTTTGAATTAATGACAGCCTCTCAAAAAGTCAGTTAAAACCTAAATTTGAACTTATGACCATCATCCCGTCCCTATAGTCACATGATCACAATTCAGGCACTTGGTAACCAGTTTGCATTTACAACTGTTTGCCGTGTCCCACAGTCACATGATTACTAGATATGACACTTTTCGCTATTTTCTAGCAAAAAATATCATTGATTAAACTGGATTCATACTTGCAAGCATGTGACTCGCTTATTGTCACCGTAAAAAATGGTCATAAAATTGATTGTGTATGATGACTTGATTTACAATTGCAATTTACAACAAAAATTCTCATCTCAATTGTGATCATAAGTCAAGGATTACCTATAAGCAGTATGTATTTTATAATACTAGCAAAATCTAGCTTTAACTATATCTGCTATTAGTCACATCATTATTATTGTTGTTGTTATTTAAATTTATTTTCTGCCCATTTCGCCACAAGGAGGCTCTGGGAGGCTTACAACATTAAGTCACATGGAATAGTGAAACAAAATAGCTAAGATTATAAATAAATCTTAACATTCCAAATTAATGTAAAATATTCACTTCCATTTAAACAGAACTAGAAAGATATGGTAAATTGTACACACTTCATTGCAATTCCAAACCACTGGCTAACTGAGCATGTAATCAAAAGAACAAAACAGGACTAGGAATAAAAGGGACATTACCTGGATACACACTGGGAGGGGATGGAGTAGGGACAGCAATAGGGACGCCGACACTTCCACTCCCACTGTTCTCTCGACTGCTGCTCCTACTGCTTGGATGGCTCCCTCCACTGCTTCCGCTGCTGCTAAAAGAAATCCAAACCACCAAAGTAACTATATTCCATTCCCTAACAGGTAAACCACAGCTACACAACATTTATAGAAGCTTGCTAAATTTGCCATTTCAGAGACCAAAACTGGGTATGTTTTTAAAATGCCTCAGCTAAAATTAGGAAACATCGTTCAGGATCAATAGTACAGATGAAATGATGAAAAACACCTTCAAGAGCGTTTTCTGAAAGTCTTGGTAATATGGACCTTCAGTGGAAAGAAGCTGTTTCATTTAAAGTGCATAATGCTCTTTGAACTAAAAACATCTATGTATAAAATAGTTTTCTTTGTAAATGGCCATGAGAGCTCTCTAGTTTATGTTAACTTTTTTTTCCCCTTGTGTACTGCTGACCTGCTCTGCAGGTTGATTCCACACTGCAAAAACTATTTTACCAAGGCTATTTTCCTACTGTTACAATATACCTTCTAAGGGTCAATGGAAATAAGTAATATTAGCCACATTTCAAGTCAACTGAACTACACATTTGTTTAAAATTCGCAGCACTTTCACAAGCATCAAAATTTCACCACTTCAGAATTGTGTACATAAACTTCACAGTTGCAGTATTCTTGTTAGCAGGTACCACATTTAGAAGCTGTGTATCACACCAGTTATAAAGAGAAAGTAGGCAGTAAAAATAAATACATCAAATATAATAGTATATCTGTTACACAATGCAGTAGTGTATTGTATATTGCTTCTGAACAAAACAAAAACCTGTTCCAAGACAAACAACTTCACACTACACAACACGTAGTATAAGCAGCATGGTGTCTCTCTATCTCCCAATGGATTTCCCAGGAAATCACATGAATTTATGAAGCTCTAAGTGGAGAGGTGGGGTGGAGTGGGGTGGGGTGGTTAAAAGCAGATTGCTATAAACCGAGTTTGTCTTAATTATTGTTAATATTTTGCGCAGGAGCAGAGTGAATACCTGTAAGTGCGATTCCTCTGATTCACAGAAGCTGTTCTAACAGGGCTCTGCTGCGAGGGAGCGATATTACGGGTAGGGCTAGGTACATAGTCATTTGGTACCACTGGAGGACGCACTGGCTCCAGTGTGCGATAGGGAGAGTGACGCCTACACAAGAAAAACATGTATGGAAGCAATTTCAGACAATGAAATACAAAAACCTTTTGGCCAAGGCAGTGCAGAATCCCTGCTAGATTGTTCTGCTCAAAAATGCACAGGGCTGGATCCAATGCACTGCAGGAGTAGCATATGTGTAGGATTTCCTTAGGCCCAGCTTTCCCAGCTGGCATCTCTGTAGATAATTCACAAAGAGATCCATGCATGCCTGCCATAAACTATCCCTCCCTCCCTTTTTCCTCAAGATTATTTATGTACTGGGGCAGAAAGGACAGATGGGATTAGGTTATAAGAGGCATGCACAGAGTTCCTATTCCCCTTGATGGTCTGTCATGCTACGTGTAACAGGCATCCCTATGCAGAAGGAAGGAAGAAAGAATAGGATTCTTTGGAGATAAAAAAAATCCCCACATTATGGTACAGGGTCATGAAATTTTCTATTCATCTACCACAGGATATCCAGGCTGGTCATTTTTTCCAAATACAGCAGAAAATAGTGTACAGCTATTCAAACTGCAAGCACTATCCCAAAGGCTTCCACAGAATGACTACGTAACACCTCTTGGTGATATTATGGATAAGTTTATGCTTGCCTTCAAAACCCAGACTGCAGCTTTTAAGTACCTTTATGCCAAGAGACAATTGTAAAAGCTAAAAGAAAGTTTTAGATTTCCCCTTTACATTCTCTCCCTCCACCTTCTGATGTAAATGCAATTATACTTACCCAATAGTTCCTTTCCCTGACATTGGCGGACTGGGTGGTTTCTGGGTGGGTGGTGTGGTACGAGGCAGACCACCCATTTTCATATTCTGCGTGCTAACCTGTGTAAGATGTAATGGGAAAAAAATAACCTCACAAACTTTTCAGACTTAAACAAGAGTCCTTAAAGACTTGATCTACTACATTAAAGAGACAAGGAAATGTGCAAATCAAAAAAAGGAAAAGAAAAAAACCAAACTAGTCATACATATGTGTGCTAACTCTACCCTCGTTAAAATTATTAGGTGCACTTAAATTATGGTTATATGTGGTGTGGCTTTGAGACAGAGTTTACATTTACATTCAGAATAGATCACTGGCAATGTAGCATGGCAAATCTATCTCCATGAAAGTTGTTGAGTTTTCTAGGCTCAACTTAGGAGTTTTAGACAAATTTACCGTTGCAATAATGCAGTACCCTAGTTGTCTACTCCAATGAGATTGGAAGGTAACTGTATCTGAAACATTTTATTGGCTGTGCTTTAATTATACTATATGCATGTGAGTTTTTCAACTACATGTAATCAATTACATGCTCAAAAGCTGGTTTGGAGCTTGATTCTTGCTACACATACTCTTGGTAAGAAATACAAATTTACAACTGTATATTATATGAAAATCCAATATGATTTTATTGCCTCTGAGCGGTGTCTTTCAGGAACAATTTTCTTTTCATTAATGCCTTACATATAATTTTATCAGATATTCCAGGGAAAATCCTAAAGTGTATGAGGTCTCATTAATAAGTGTTATAACAAAATTGGAATGAGAAATATGAATCCAATTATCTTTTCAATCCAATTAATCATATATCACCATTTGTTAATGGGACGCAAAGGTTTGCTGGAGTCAACAGCAACAGGAAGTAGTGATAAATGCCAATCCAACAGCTTCCCTTGTCCTTTCCATATAAGGTCCTTTCATCATCATGATAAGAATTCTATTCAGTCCCTCTCCCTTTATATGGCTTGTGATGTAATTCTTCATAAGCCATTTCCCCAAGAATATTGAGATGGGGGATTCATTCCTGGCATGAAGAGCAGAAGAATTTGACCCAAAGAACAGATACTAAATTTAAATTTAGTTGCAATTATATAAATTTATTGAAGCCATACTTAATAAAACAGAAATAAGCTGGGTTATATCACTAATATCATACATTCAAAGGGCAATTAAAATTTCAAGTATGTAGCTTCCGAAAGGACTGTTCATTCTGAGTTTATAAGGTAAATAATCCAATATTGCCCCAAAGAAAAAAATATTTAAATAAACTTTGAAATGTTTTTCATAAGCGTTACATATTAAATATACTTGTAAATTTTAACCTTAAATTAACACTGATATTATTACACTTCCAGAAGCTTCTATAAATTGAATTATAGAAAACATATTATGACGTATTATGTAACAAAGGATAAATATGTTTATATTTAATATGTTGCTGGGATATTATTAATTTTTTTCTTAATTATTTTTACCATGAATATTTTAATGTATAATTGTATTGCATCAATTTGCAAATAAAATAAGTAGTATACAAGACTGTAAAAAATATTTTCCTTACTTAATAGTAAATACAAAAAAACCCAAGTTATAATTAATGCACTAATTACCTCAATTTTTCAGTTAATAATTTTACTGATCATATCAGTAAATCAAACTATATAAATGATGCTATAAATTCAAGGTATAAACAGTAAATGTCTCATGTTCAACAAAATGTTTTATGAAATAAGCAGGATTTTTATCAATCATAAATATGATAGATAAAATTGTGATTATTTCTCTGTAGATAAAAAAAAGCTCATTAAATGAAGGAATCACTGGAGGGTCAGTCAATTTAGGTTTAAGAATTGGGATTTGACATGGCGTTTATAAAGTTATTCAACTGTATTTCCTTACCATAAAAGCAACACTAATAATGCATTCACGGTGTCTGTAAGTTTATGGGACACCCTACAGTTTAAAGCTTCTGAATTTTATTTATTTGTTTGTTTGTTTGTTTAGTTTGTCAAACATGTAAAATTTATCTTTAAAAATATAGAAGGAAGGGGATACCTTTACAATAAATAAAGTCCATGAAGCGTGGCTTTCTGCAGCTACCATTATAATGGAATGTTATGAAACCTGGAGGTGATGGAAGCTAAATCTAATTCTTGGATGGCATCAAGTTAAACAAGATTGTCAATACTAATAATTAATTAGTAGTTAATATATGCAGAATACTTGGTAACTTTAGATTATCTATATACACTATCCAGGGAATCAGTGCCAAATATACAGAAATATTAATTCAAGATTACTGAATATATTCTAAGATTTTTCTTTAAAAAAATCTTCCAGCCAGTATAAATGCAGACAAGTTGCTTCACTATTCCTCACAACACAGCAATATAGGAGAGAAGTAATAGTGGTTGTGGTGACCTTAGTAAAGACCATGTGAGGCAGTTATGGCTGTGCCCATTGCTGAAATGCAAGCTTTTAGGGATTACTTCAGAAGAAAATAAGTCCTCCATATTCTTATTTTTGGTAGACTGCCTTTCAGATAATTGTTAGATATATTGTGATACGTTGACATTTAAGACTCTAAGATGTATTTGGCATAAGTGCAATTTCTTGTCATCAGTTATACTGTCTTTTTTTTCCACATTGTTAAATCACCAACTCCTCCAGGGGCAAGAATACAGTAATATCCCTAAGGACAATCCCACTTTAGACTCACAAGAACTTTGTAAACTACATTTAAGTGAGTATGTGAGTGGCTGAAGATTATAGTTAGCACAGTACAGAACTGAACTCCAAATGCAAATACTGGTTAATTATATATAAAAGTCACTACATAAATAAGCCAAAGTTGGCAGCACATGCTACTCGGTACCAAATCCCATTATGTTCAATTCAGCACAACTTTAGAGGCTCTACTGTCCTTTCATCTTTCATCTACATCTCTTATGTTAGCCACAAGGGACGAATTACCAGCACTAGGTTGAATTTCATGAGGACTGTTCACATTATTAAACCAACAAACGTTACTTATAAAGTATAATCAAAGGGCTCGGGATAATTAGGAGATTCATTTTGGTACTTATAATATTGTTATATCTATTCCTACTTTATATTTCCCCCCCCCCCAAAAAAAGGGAAGAATTACTCAGTGCATGACTCCCTCTGCCCAATTGTCTAATTTGTAGGCAATTAGTTCTGTGCACTCAAGGAGTTGATTGCAAATGGACTTTAGGCACACACATTTTTTTTGTTCTATATTACTTAACTGTAAATATATTGGGCATGAGTGTATTTTAATATAAAAATACTGAGAACATTAAAAGTAACCTTAAATTCTAATTAATATAATGAAGACAACAAACATAGCAGAAAATATATAAACGTATATATTTCCAAAGGAACTACAATATATAGATCTGCAACACCAGCCTAACAGTAGGACTGATGTAGCAGTTCAAAAGTTTGCTTAATAATTGATAGTATAACTTCAAAACATATAAAATAAAACATGCCCCAAGTTATATTTGATTTTGCAAAATAAAATAAGTTTGCAAATTCAAACTTGGCTCATAAATGAGATCAAATCACATCATATAAATAATAATATATTATTACACAGGGGGAGAGAAGACTTGTCACAAGTCTTTATTTTTTTCATGTAAAATCTGATCGCTGAAGGCCTTGCTAGTTATCTAGTTCTTTCAGTATCTAGCATATTTTTAAGACACAAGAAATATATTAAAGATTACTTTCTTCCCATGAGCTTGGCAAGAAACAACGTTCTCCCCATATGTAATAGTCTCAAATATAAGAATGAAATCCAGCCCTGATGTTTCTTACCTTAAATCTAAGCAACCACTTAATGCATAAATGAAGCAAATAAAAGAGGTAAGGAAGAAAAGCATTGAAAGGTTAGTTGAAATTTCAGGATATGGAGAAAGAAGGGAAAAAGAAAAGTTAAGCACTTAGCATCAACTAAATAATGTATCAATAGATCATAGAAAGAGTGATTAAAGCAGAAGGTGTTATGAATAAAGGTTTTCAAAATGAATAACGTTTTAAAATATTATTAACAGAATTTGTTAACAAATCTGTTAACAAATAACAATGATAAATTGAATTCTAAATTATTATTTTGCACATGTAGCATATTCATAAATCTCATACATGCTAAAAATACTGAGGAAAAAGTTCACCCAATATAGATTTTAGGGGCTATGAAAATCCTTCAGAAGTGGTTCAGTCCATGCTAAAACAAAGCTCTCTTTGGATCATTAAAACAGTGGCATCTTTTTCTGGGCTCCCACACCTGCTGTGCCAGCCAACTCTATATACCTGCACAAACCAAGCTGCTTCCAGTTGCTTTTTGCCTGCTTTGCATGCACACATATGCAGAGACAACTGAGAACAGCTTCTGAAGCAGCCAAAAGTGTACAAAAGGACACAACTGTTTTAATAAATCAAAAAGAGATTCTTTATACATGATTCCTTATATTCTGAAACTCCTTGTTTGAAAGAATTTATTCAGCTATACAGGATTTGCTATTTATCCATTCTTCTATTGCTAAATCTATTAGGCAGTCCCGGAACCAGCGAAATCTGAGGGCTGGGTAGGGGACAGAATGTGTCTGCCCTCAGTGTGGAAGGGATTGCCACTCTCGAATTGGCCTTTTTAGTCACACTATAGATGCTGTTTTAGGACCTCTTTCCAGAGCACGATACCATCGTCTTTTGAGACTGAAGGATGCCAATGAAATCTATTAAATATTCTGATGAAGTACATACCCCTACCCATGTGTAGACTCAATAATAAAGTTACTCTCAAATAGTAATATTTCACTTGATTAAAAAAGCCTAGCAGCTTGTCACCCATGGGACTTTGCAACAGTTCAGATTTAAAGAGAAATAGATGCTTTGGAGCACACAATATGCTCCCTGAATCAGGGTTCTCAAACAGGTATCACAAGTAATTTATAACCTGGACACAGCTTCTGTTTAAGACTTTCTGCTTTGCACAGGTAAAGTAAGGCATTATCAAAATCTGTTCTGACTATATTGTTTTCCATAAATAATTTTTATTCCTAAATACTTTTATTCTGGTTTTCTATTTATAGCATTCATGTTACAGAATAATTAAATTAATTGCTTGTATACTCCCTTAAAATTAGGTTTTATTTGGTCATTACCTCCACTATTCATTACCATTATCTTGTAGGTAGGGGCAGCGACTGAACTGCATTTAATCAGTCTATCCACCAGCACAAGAGAAACGGTTGGCAAAGCAGATTTCCCTTTTTTGTGTGAGCAATCCACACTCCTTAATCTGCTCCAGAACATTAATTAACATTCCAGAACAGATTTAGAAGATATATGGAAGAACAGGAATTTTTGATAGATTAGATAGAACTCATAATGATTACATTAAAGATGATATAACATGGCTATATATTTTTGCTGTTGTTGCAAATTAAACTTGCATGTCAAATATTATTTCAGATAGTGCAAACTGACATACATATATTTGATTATTGTTTGCCTCCAGGATGGCATTATTGGAAAAAAACAGAACCAAACATGCTATCTCATAAATCAAAGATGTTATGTTATTTCTACAATCCAAATGTAAATATGTGTAACAGCTACAGAAACTCTCTGTATTTGTTTTATAAAACCTGAAGATATGATAACAATAAGAAAAATAGCTGTAGTTTACTCTATAAATCATTTTCACCATACGACTGTCCTATGCATGCAATTTTTAGAAAATTCACTAATGTTTAAAGTAAGCATTTCAGTCAAAGGTTATTGTGCACTTTCAGAATAGTTTTATATTATAATCAACATAGTAAATGTTTTCACTGAAGAAAGATGTATTTAAATATATTTCAAATTTAATTAGCTTCACCGTAGAATCTGAATCATTACGTTCTGGATTGTGAAGTAAACAGTAATATACTTAGTTCATGAAGAACCACACAAACAAATGCATTTCTTTGCAAGATAAATAATTCCCTAGAAAATACTACTTCATATTATTTTGTCCTTTCTGTTACTATGCTGCCTAAACACTGCAAGTACTGTAAATTGTTCTTTTTTACATTAACTTTTTCCTTCTCATTGGTGTTTTCACATCTTTTAATTACTTTGTATATTTAAGGTTGTATTCCAGAGATGCATGCAAAACGAACAAACTTTACACGTGCAATTAAATGTGTAGCTACACAGTGCATGCATACAAATTTAATATGTAATTCTCCCTGTAATTTAGCAACTTAAATCATAGGTGTTGTTAGAGCCATATATCCAGTGGATCCTAGAGATTTTCTCTGGTTTATCTTATTTTTCTGTTTTAAAGGGATATTCAAAGATTAGTTCCTTAATTTTGTTTATTATGCAAGTCTGGAATTAACTGAGTCTAGAATCAAGGGAGTAGGCAGCAGACAAATCCATATAATAAATATAAATAAATTGGTCTGACCAAAGGAAAGATTAATATCATGCTTGCAATGGTATTATAACAAGAGTTTAGTTCACAAGCAAAAAAAAAAGAAGTATTGCATTGTCAGTCAGTACTGCTAGATAACCAAATCAAAATCAAGGAGACAAATGAATTGTTTATTTTTTACTCATTGAGACACAAAGAACAATACAGTACAGAATCAATAATATAAAAGATAAATAAACCATGCTATTAATTGGAGAATGCAAGGGAGCATCTCCACACAAACATTTTTGCATTCTTAAAATATACAGGCATGTTAATTCATTTGAATTATTTCATTTTACCACTTACCTTTACCCCATGTCCAATATCATCAAGAATTGTATAATCAATAGGTTTCCTGATATAACGAACAGGTCGCTCCAAGTTGGCTGGTGCAATGATTTTGTGAGTTCTTGAAGTATTTTTGTTTGTAGTCAAGATGCCAATTTCCCTTCTAGCCACTTTTTCCTTGTGTATATCAACTGTCTGCAGGCATAATGAATATATACATTGTTAAAAATCATCATTAAAGATCATTAAATAAAACAGCTACAATTGATACATGCTTTATTTCTTTTGGTATAATAGAATTTAATTTCATACAAAAACTTCTGAGATATACAGGATAGTCCTTATACTGATGTTAAGTAATTAAAGAAAAAAACAAATTCTTTTAAAATACAAATGACACTGATAATTGAAAATAAGGACATACATTTTCATAACAGTTATATTTTCCCTAACATTAAGTGAAAATATATTCCTTCTAGAAACATCATTCTATGTTCATGAATCATTCTATGTGATTAACAGTGTTACATCATGGATTCTTTCTGTACATTGATTACCGTCTATTATAGATACATAGGTCTGCTGCTCTCTAAGATCTCTACAGAAACTTAACATTAGTTACAACTGTGCAAAATATACTACTGTCCCAATATGGACTTCCTGGAATGAAAGGAATAATTTATGCCATGCTTGCTAATATTGTTTTTATCTAATGTGAGACAGTATCATAGAAAACAATTATATTTTCAGGTTCTTTGTAGATTTTTTTTAATGCTATAGGTTCCAATAACTGAAGAAACTCATTGCCATAAATGAACATTTTGGGATAGTAATAGTAATATTCAGCATTTGTTGCAATAATCATACATTTCAAGTATGAATTTTACACCGTAAAACTAGCTAAAGAAGTTATTTTATTATTCAAAAAATGTCTATTTTATTTTCTTCAAAAAAAATTATATTTCCATAAAAACTAACAGACAGCAGATTGTATCTGCTTACATGAAACAGTGCAATATTCTCTGTATTACATTGAGCCTTAAATATAAAGTGAGTAAGTATGTTATCTTACTTGGGAAATGTGGTTGATTGATGATTCCATTCGCCTAAGCTGGGATGCCTGGATATCCAGCATTTGCAGAACATTATTTGCCAAAGTGTTGATCAGATAGGCTACACTAGCTAAGGACTGAGTTGTATATGCTTTGGTTTCTTCTAGAGCCCGTTGTTTATCTGGTGACTAAAGAAAAAATAATAATCAAAACTGTACATTTTTCATATACAATCTGTGCATCTTCCAACTTTTTAAGCCAATATACACATTATAGTCATTTCTCACAACTTCTTTCTTAGGTCAAATTGTTCTTTCATATTTTATTATATAAATTGCTGGCATCAAAGAAAAGATAAAAGAACTGGCTTAAAGGAAAATCTGCCATATAGAGATAGGAGTTTCCTACCTCTAATTGATTTTGAACTATTTATGAAAGTAACAAATGTAATCTTAATCACACTTGGTAATTCTGAGCAATCACCAATTCATTTAATATGCAAAAAAAATGATTTATTCAGATGCTATTTGTAACTTGGTTCTAGTATTGTTCGTAGTCAGGAAAAAAAAGCATTTCTGCTTTTTTAGTTTCCAAATTATTTCATAATTTGAAATGCATTACAGGCAGTCCTCAACTTATGACCACAACTGGGAGCAGAATTTCCATTGTTAAACCAGACAGGTGTTAAATGAGTTGCACATGATTTTACAATCTTTTTTACTATTTTTTGCAATCACATGGTCATTAAGTGAATTCAGTTCCTGATTGAGTTTGCTTGTCAGAAGATGGCTGGCTGGGAAGGTCGCCAATGGTGATCACATGGTTCTGGGGCGCTGCAACCATTGTAAATACATGCTAGGTGTCAAATGCCAAAATTCTGCTCAGGTGACTCTGGTGATGCTGATGATAAAGGCAAGGACTGATCTCTTCATAAGTCGCTTTTTTCAGTGCCATTGTAACTTAAAACAGTTGCTAAATGAATGATTGTAAGTCAAGGATTTTCTGTACTGTACAACTAGTCCTTGACTTACAACCATTCATTTAGTGACTGTTCAAAGTTACAACAGCACTGAAAAAAGTGATTTATGACTGTTTTCATATGACCGTTGCAGCATCCCCGTGGACACATGATCAAAATTCAGACCCTTGGCAACTGGCATGTATTTATGATGGTTGCAGTGTCCTGGGTTCATGTGATCACCTTTTGCAACCTTCTGACAAACAAAGTCAATGGGGAAGCAGATTCACTTAACAACCATTTTACTAACTTAACAACTGCAGTGATTCACTTAACAACTGTGACAAAAAGGCTGTAAAATTTGTCAAAACTCACTTAATAACTGTCTTGCTTAACAACAGAAATGTTGGATTTAACTGTGGTCATAAGTTGAAGACTACCTTCAACTGACTTGTCTACCAGCAAGAAAACTGGAGTCAACCAGTACATAATTATACTTCTACTTTAACCAATCTCAAGTGTATTCTTACTACTGTAAGCTGATTACCTGAAGTCAGCTAACACTAACTTCAATTACATAATTCAAACTTTACATTTTGTTTTTTAAAGTAGTGCTCAGTACAACCTATCAGGGTGGGCTCATTTGAAATACTGAGAGCATGTTATGGCATTTTCACAAAATAACTACCAAAGTGAGTACTATACTGCACAATATACTAGAAGATGAGCTGGTAATGTTGCGATACATGACACCCTCCAGCAGCTTTAAAAAAAAAGACTAAGCTGACTTTAATTTTAGCAGAGAATGCTATCATTTTCATTTTTTAATAATGCTTTCAAGATAGGTATCTGCTTCTTATGTGTGCTACACTGGGTACATGATTTATGTACCATCCAACACATATAAGCCTCCCAGAGGTTGCCTTATTGGTGAGATATACGTAATTTTCAGAATATAAGATGCACCTTCCCCCCCAAAAAAGTCTGTGTGTCTTATAGAGCGAATGTTGCTGAAGCCCCGCCCACTCTTCGGCCTCTGCCTCCTAGCAATTTGCCTCCTTGCAATAAACAGCAAACTGGGGAGCTTCAGCACAGCCTGATTTAGTACGGGCAGCTGACTGGCGGTTGGATCTACCTCCCAGAATACCACCAATCAGCTGTTCCAGGTTGCGGGGATCGCCGCCACCCATCGCCATCATTGCCATACATTGCCATCTCCGCGTGTCCCATTTTTGGCCCATTCCAGGTGGTGGGGATAGGCAGCGGGGAACGGGACGAAAACAGAAAGCATGGAAGCCGAAAATGGGATGCAGGGAGGCGACGATAGGTGGTAGCGGCGGCGAACTCCTGATATAGATTTTCATGATATATGATTGTTTTTCTAAAATGCAAAATGCAATATTATTAGAAATAATACCCTAATTTGTAGGGTATGAAAAGTAATAATTACAAATTGGGAGTAATAATTACTCCCAATTTGGGAGATGGATGGATGGACAGACAAATAGAATTTGTACATGTTTAGGAAATTCTTAACATGAAGAAGTTTATATAGAATATCACAAATGTATATATAAAATACCTTTAAGGAAATAAGAAATAATAAAAATAAGTAAAAAAATAGCCCAATTTCTTGTGACATGAAGATTACACAACATTGAAAAACTCCATTTAGAATTTTAAATGTCAAAACTGGGAGGCAGAGAAGTAGAAGAACTAGGGTGCACAGCAATCAAATCACTTCTTTGTAATAAGGCAAAATCTGAAGTGCCTTAGTTTATCTATTGATCTTTCAAACGTGCTTTTCAGGACAGGGCAAAGAATAGAGATGGTAACAGTTCACTTCCTAGAAGTCTCTCAAACCATCCCAAGAAAAGCAGACCATTTAAGGGTACTTTTCAATTTGAATAAAAAACCAAAAAATATCTGAGCATTTTGCTAACAAATATAAGTACAAATTTTCAATTCTGGAGGGAGCTTGAATGGAAAATTGAAGGACTATTAATGTGTTGGAATTTTTCCTTCACTGACTACCAAGTAAGTAGCTTTCATTTTTATGAAATTTTCATAAATCATTTAACAGATGAAATCAATCATAATACCAGTAAGTGTAACAGAATTTTTCTAGGAGTTCTGTCCTACATTTTATATAACTGGTATAAACTGGTGCAAAACAAGCAATAATCTTCATCATTAGATTTGCAAATGTATTATAGCAGGGAAGTGGAAATACTTTATATTATAACAATATGACTGAAATAACATTCAACAATGTCAAATCCCATTTTATTTCTTAAAAAAATATGTATGGGAATAAGAGACCGAATATAATTTCAATAAATTGTTTGTACTTTTAATAATTTCATATTTCTCCACAATGCAAAAAGAAACATTCCCTAAACTAGAGTATAATAATAAAGTACTTCTGAAAAAATTAAAGACTGATCACTTTCAACACAGTGTCAGTATTACACTTATCTCTAATGTATTAGTCACAATAAAAATAACCTCAACGTAAAATTTTTTTAAAATGATATTCACCAAAGATGGCAAAATTCCCTTTTTTCTTAGAAAGGGCTAGTAAAAGCTAGTAAATAAACAGTACTAGCTCCTTTAAAACCTGTATTAGAATCTAGAAAATGGAAACAATGTTTACATATTTAAATATAGTTCATTATATTGTCTGACTTGGCAATGATGAAAATAAAGTCTTCCACAAATTGCTGGCCATATGCCAGACCCAAATTTATCTTTGAATCAGGAAGCCAGAAAAGGTAGATTTCCTACAAGAGGTTACGTTACAGAGGATAACTCTCAGAAAAGCCATAATGTGGGTTTGAGATGAAAATTTTCAGGTTCTATTAGCAAAGGTTTCTTTTTTACCAATCAGTTGGTGCCATCACTGACTGAAGTGAGCATATGTCTGGCCAATTTTTTCATAGTATTGAGATTGTTATGGGAATTTTTTTATGTACCATACTTAGGAGTCTTTCAATGATTTAAACCAAAATTAATCATAATGAATTATTCTGATTCTTAGCAAAAAGAATCTTAACTGTAGTGTCTTGGAACTAAGAGGTCTATAAGAAACAACATTCTAATTTAAATTGATTGCCACTAGTCTCCACAGGAATGATGGTAAAGTAATTAAACTAATCTTCCAACAGATACATATTCTTAAATGTGATTATCTATTAAAATGTTATTTTCTTCAGAACAATGGAATGTTAAAGTTAGCAAGAAACTGCATGGAAGAAAACAAATTAAACTATGAAAACCCGTATTGTTCTAGGTACAATACAACATAAATGAAAACGTCTTATGGTTTGGTTCTCTTCTGTATTAAGCAATCATTCAGCAAATCTTTCCTAAAAGATTAATTATTAAAATAGATTCTTACTGGAATAGTAATGAATACTTGGAGACTTTCTGTTCAGTTCTCGAAAATACTACCTTCAACTAGATATATTCTAGATTTTTGTGTATCTTGGCTTTTAACAATTGACTAAAGCTTCTAGGGAAAATATATTCTTTAACCAAGACACTACAGTTAAGATTCTTTTTGCTAAGAATCGAACGTTGCTTACCTGAACGTTCCTTCTCGGCACGCTGATGGAGAATCCAAAGCGTGGGTAATGTTCACGTTGAGCTTGTCAGAGACTGAGTGTATCACTTTAAATTTTCTGCCTCGGTTCCGCCCCTTCTGCTCGACTGCTGTCAGTTTAGTTCACAAAGAACAGGTAAGGAGACGACGGTAGTCCACAATCAAAGCGCCGGACCTGAAACCTTAAGGTAGGGAGGGTTGGATTCTCCATCAGCGCGCCGAGAAGGAACATTCAGGTAAGCAACGTTCGTTCTCCAGCACGCTGCTTGAAGAATCCAAAGCGTGGGATGTACCCAAGCAAGTTAATTAGGAGGGGTTATCAGACAGGCCAGGGCAGGCAGTGGAGCAGCGACCGATTGGAGAACATGGCGTCCAAAGGCAGCGTCAGCAGCCGCAAAAGAATCAATTTTATAATGTCTGATGAATGGATTCAAGGTGGTCCAGGTGGCTGCTCTGCAAATTTCCGAAACCGAGGCTTGAGTTGCCCACGCAGCTGATGTGGAGGCACTCCTGGTGGAATGAGGAAAGACTTTGCCCGGAGGAGGCTTGCCTGACGCGGAGTAAGCTTTGCAGATACATGCTTTTAGCCATCGTCCAATTGTGGTAGACGAAACCTTTTGGCCCAG